CAAGGTAATTATTCTTCCCTACTTGGCCCATAAGAGGCTGGCGTTGGCTTTAAAACAGTTTTGGGCAGCAACTTCATTAAGTATTGTCAAACTTGAGGGAGTCCCAAAGAGGAAAATCAAAAAAGTAGGTGCTAATGAATACATCACTAGAAGATGATACCCAAATTAGTCTGAGAAAAGACTGAAATGTAAGGTTTTCTTTGGTTTATGAAAGGGAAGACTGAAGGTAGGAAGTAATAATAATCCCTGTTAAAGAGATAGGTGGAAATTTGTTTTCAAGGACTCTAGCAGATACATGATGATGATCTCAGTGAATTTGCATTGGAGATATTTTGGGCTTGGTATTAAGAATTATCTGTGGTGAAGTGGCTCAATATTCTTCACAGAGGAGAACTGTTTACGGAACGGTTTTAAGATCAAGCTAAACAAATTATTAGTACATAGTCTAAGTATAATAACCCTGTCCTTCACATAGGAGGAGAGACTTCGTGATCCCAGGAGGTCTGGTAATGCACCAGGCTTGCATTATTCTGTTAAATTAAGTACAGGAACATGGCAGAGTTGACTATCTATCTGTAGTTGATTCTCAGTTCCAATTTTCAAATACATAAGGCCATTATAAGGCCTCTTTTGTTTCACATGGATGTCAGACAATCACAAATAGGAATGGAATGTGACTAGATTTTTTTTAACTGACTTAAATTTGGAGCCAGCTAGAGAATAATGATATGCAGAGGAGAAGATTTAATCAAGGAACTGTGGGAAGTCTGTGAAGAATTAAATATGGTCTATATAATAAAATCCCAATATTTTCCATAGGAAGAGCTGGTAGCATGGCTAGTAGAAAACATGCTGATAGAGCATGCCCTGAAAGACTGTATTGTGGAGGAGAAAATGAAGGATAAGACAGAAAAAAAACTTCAGGTGAAAGGCCAACCATGCCAGAAATCAGAGGGCAAGAAAGGAGAGGCTGTAGGCATTGTGAAGACTTCAAGAATCAGAAGCAAATTCTAAAATCTATCCTATATTTATTAGGTGAGACTATAATGGCTTTGAAAATTATAATTCATTCATTTGCATTCTTCAACCAAGTGGACTGGTACAGTGTCTACTGAAGACCTAGCACCCTAATCTTGGGGAGCTAGGAATGTAAAACCTGAATATTAATACTTCCATTCCAGTTCTTTAGTAAGAGTTATTCCTAATACAGGAAGAGCTATCTTCTTTCTTTGCACCTATATGCAGAGATTGTTCCAGTGCTAGTGTCACTCATGCAGCATCAGTGAAGAACATTGCTCGATAGTTACAGCAGACTGGTGCTTTTGTAAGAAAAACTCTGGTTTGTGAATGCAGGTTTTGGAACTCCTGATTTGAGATGCAATGCAGGAAGAGTATGTGCATGTGTGTGCATATGCTTGCACAAATGGAGCTGCAGCTAAAATGTTTCCTTTTCCCATTTAGTAACACACGTGATTACAGTTTCTGTTGCATCCTCAATCTTGATGTCTGACAGAAAAAGATCTATTGCGTGATTACCACTCTTTAGCAGAAACCCCAGCATATGCTGTGTAAGACTGTTTTATGCTACTTTTAAAAGGCACAGAGTAGGAGGGGAGGAAGAAACGGTTCCAATAAGAATATGTCACTTAAGACAGATTCAGAAGCAAAGGGAATAATGTTTGAATGAATTCTGGCTTTATTCCACATCAATCTCCTGAGTATTATCTGGAATTATTACCCTCAAGCAACAGCAGCTGTAAAAGTCTTTCGGATACTTTTGAGTAAATGTATAGATGCACAAACCCATTCACCTGAACCTTAGAGACAGATAGTGTACAAGGATTGGATGGTAGAGATAACAAACCTTAGACAGAAGAAATTTTCTAATTCTTTGTTCTTAAGCATACACCCACTGTGAATGAAAAAAAACCTCTGCATCTCCCTGAGGCCTGCAGAGCAGCTGAAACATCTGATTTGTAACATGTTTAATCTCCAGTTTAGTCCTTCAGAAATCCTGTGTGGTGTCTGGCTGGGAATGAAGTAAAGCCAGACGAGGAGGCACAGTAACCTGCAAGACTTATGCATCGTCCACTAGATTTTTTTAATCAGTCATTAAAGTCAGCATCTTTGATTTCTAATATCTTTATATATTTGTTTTTCTCTCTGTTATAAATGCTGTTCCATTGCCTTGGTCCTTATTTGTAGATATTTTGGTTTTTATTAGTGCTTCAATACACTGACAGAAATATCTTTCATTCAAATGCATATATGTTATTCCTCCTTTAAATAAAATATGCTTAATTTTGTGATAGTTAGGATGCACATTTTACATTTATTGATGATATTAATTAATTACACAGCCTGATACTGATCTCAACAATAATCACTGCTATCTCATTCAGGATCAAAGCTGATCCTGAATTGTTGTGGCCTGACCTCTTATTAGACACGTTGATAAAAGTGACCGTAGCTTTTAGATGCGACACTTTCAGAATGTGCAGTATCAAATAAAATACAGGAAATGCATGTTCTCCATAAGATCTGATTTTTAGTGAAAAGGTTAGAATTAGTTGTAAACTCTCCCTTATAAAAAATATGACATTATGGCTAGAGGAACTATTATTTCTTAGCAATACAAAACTCTCAGTGCTGATTAAGCGGAGTTCACTGACTGCTAAAGCTATGAATTTATCTTCATATTCAGTGGAGATTAATTCCTGTGCTACTTTAGTTCTACTGGCAGCATCAGCAGTACAATATTTTATGCCTGCTGCCTCCTAGCTTGTCAGTGTTGGTTTTTTTACTCTTGGTATCTGTGCAAGTTCACATTACTTAAATTACTTCCCTTTGTTCTTTTTTTCTCTGCCTGAAAAACATGCTTTTCTCCTTTGCAGTTGAACAAGCCTTAGAAACCCACTGCCTCAGGTATTTTGAGACTCTCTTGAATTTAACCTTGTTTGTCAGGATTCTTGCCAAGTGCTTCAGTACGCAAAAGAATCAGAAGCACATCATCTGGGAACAGATTTTATGTTCAAGCCAGAAATGATTTACTAGCTATATAGGGTACTAGGGAAAATGCATATTCAATATATCTTCCTTCAAGCCAGGAGTTCATGTAAGTACAGGAGGAGCAACACTTAAGATTCATTGCAAAACTGTTGGACACATTCTGTTTGCCTTTTATTAAAGAAAAAAAAAAAAAAAAAACCAAAAACCAAAACAATATTCAAATGCATACTTTCTAATGCCTAGTATTTCTTACTATCACCACACAGACTGGCAGTGTGGCATTCATTACTTACACCAGCTATGTGATCACACCATGTTTCATAGTTGAGTGTGCTTGTTCTGAACATTTTCTAACCTTAAGATTAATGGAGCTGAGCTTGCTTGCAAATCTTGCCAAAGATCAATTGTGTCACTTCGATGTAGTCCACAATAGCATTGGTCAGAAGCCATGCAATTTCACAAGGATCACTGAGAAGGATCACTTTGTCCCAGGGAAGGAAAATGCTCTCTTTGGTGACATTACTACCATTCAAGCCTGTTCTAGTGCTTACCACTCTTCCTGAGCAGAAAATTTTCCTAATACCCTACCTGAAGCTCCCCTGGCCCAACTTGAGAACATTACCTCTCATGCTATAATAGTTACCTGGAAAAAGAGGTCGGCTCCTAGCTCTTTAGTACCTCCCTTCAGGTAGTTGTAAAGCACAGTAAGGTCTCCCCTGAGCCTCCTCCACAGAATCACAGAATTGTAGGGGTTGGAAGGGACCTCCAGAGCTCATCGAGTCCAACCCCCCTGCCAAAGCAGTTCCCTACACCAGGTCGCACAGGTAGGCATCCAGGCAGGTCTTGAACATCTCCAAAGAAGGACTCCACCACCTCCCTGGGCAGCCTGTTCCAGTGCTCTGTCACCTCACTGTAAAGAAGTTCTTGCACACATTGGTGTGGCACTTCCTATGCTGCAGTTTCCGGCCGTTTCCCCTTGTCCTGTCTCCACTCACCACTGAAAAGAGTCCGGCCTCGCCATTCTGTCCATCTACCCATCACCAATAGTTCTCACTAAACCATGTCACTCAACACAAAATCCAAACATTCCTTGAACACCTCCATGGTCGGTGACTCCACCACCCCCCTGGGCAGCCCATTCCACTGCCTGACCACTCCTTCAGAGAAGTAGTATTTCCTAACATCCAGCCTAAATCTCTCCTGGCGCAGCTTGAAGCCATTTCCTCTCGTCTTATCACCAGTTACACGAGAGAAGAGGCCGACCCCCAGCTCACTACAACCTCCCTTCAGGTAGTCATAGAGAGCAATGAGGTCCTTTTCCTCCATGCAGCTTTCCAGCCACTCTACCCTCATGCACAAAGTTATTGTGACAAAAGCACAGGACTGAGCACTTGGTCTTGCTATATCTCATAGAGTTGGCCTCAACCCATCAATCCAAGTTGTCCAGACCCCTCTGTAGGGCCTTGTTAACCTCAGACAGATCAATATTTCCTCCCAGCTTGGTGCCATCTGCAAACTTACTGAAGGTACACTCAACTCCCTTTTACAGATCAATCAATAACAGTATTAAACAGGGACTGCACATTGACTGACACCTTGTTTTTCTGCAAGGTGCAAATAAACCCACCTAGTAATTCTCATTTTTCTTGAATTTCATCTGCTTGTATCTTTTCTCCACTATTTGCTGTATCATTTCAGCTTTTCAGTCACATTAACTATCTTGTGAATGCCACTGTGAAGGTGATGATTTGTGTTTGGATACCATAGAAGAATTAGAGCATTGAAGGAATTACTGGTAGTATCTGAAGCCAATAAATTTTGTCTTTGATGCTTGGTAGAATTAAGACCCTGGGCTAGAAAGTCCCAATGGAGCTACAGACCTACATATTGGGAAAGCATGAGGACATATGATAGGATTTGGAAGGCTTTGAAATAAAATAATTTTATATCACTACTGATAAACTAACAAAACACAGAAGCTACTCCTAGTATACCTGCTTCTTCTCAGTGTGGTTTGAAAAGCTGAAGACAGACTCCTTTTTTCCCCTTCTTTCTTATTCTGCAGCACTCGTGGAAAAGTTGAATGCAATCTAGCAATATGGAGATCTGTCAAATAATAAACCATGAATTACTCCCACAGTGGTACTTCTCACATTAGGCATTTATGAAACACCATACTTGTGTCTTGTCAATCTTGAAGGATTTGAGCAGTAACATAATTAGGGATCTACTACTGTGAAACAGCCAAACTTGAACAAAAATAAGAGGGCTGCTCTGAAAATAACATCTACTTTATTACCTTGGGCCAGGATGTGAGAGGCAGATGTTGGTAGTAGAGGCTGAAGCTTTCTGCCAATACTGTTACATTTTGCTGCCATGCAACAGACGGCAGCAGAGGGGCAGTCTGACAGAATGGCACCTGACATGGGAGTATGTGTGAATTGAAGGGATGTAATTGAATCCCCCCAGGTAGGAAAAAATGCACCCATGGACATCCACTGATGCTTGCTGAACATTTATGGAGACCAAACAGTGGATATCAGCACAGTGAAAGCTGGATTGGGCAGACAGTATTTTTGTAGCAATTATGTCATTGTTACATCTGTAAAACAGCAGGTCACTTCTATTAGTGCAGAGATTTATGAGTGTGGCATGTGGAGTCTTGTTCATTGCTGGCAAAAAATGCATAGCTAATGGTGCGGACTATACTGAAAGAGTGTTTTGTAGCCAACAGTTTGCTATACCAAATAGTGTCCTGATGCTCTTTATGTGTTGTAGTTTCCATGGAAATAAATAGGAAATAAATTACATTTGGAGCAACCTATGTATATCTCAGTCCCTTCTATTTTCACTTTCATACAAAAGTTATCTTCCCTTCCTTGCTCAAAACTCAGAATTCACTGTATTTCTCTATCACTGACATCCACTATAGCCTTCAAGGACATCACCTGAAATGTGATTCAAGAGTAGTCCTGCACACAAAGCAGCCTGTTTTTAAATTCAACTAAATCATGGCATTAGAAGAATTTTTAAAACAGCAAAAATAATATTCTAAAATTCCATAAAGATAATGCCTAGATTGGTATCCAAACAAAGCATGTGGCTTGCAGAGGAGTGTTCAGAGATGTCTTCTCATCTCAGAGTGTGATTTTTTCATTAACTATGGGTTGAAGGGTTTTTAAGCTACATGGAATACAGATGTATCCAAGAACAGCTTTGGAGATACCCTTGCAGACTTTACCCACCTGTCTGAGCAAATTATTTTGGGTTGCAGAACAAACTGGCTATCATCTCTCAGGGCTCTGCTTTTTTACCTGGGATTAATCCTCATATCTTCAGTTATGGAATCTGCAGATCTGCCCGGCAACTCTCCCAGGACACCTGATTAATTGCTGCTCAGCCCTTCACATGCCTTTGCAGCTGCAGGCAGCTGAGTGGGGATAGAGGAGACTCCCCTGAACCTCTTGGGACATGTTCGCTACCCTCTCAAAGGAACCACACACATGGAACAAAGAGGTGGCCGGAGCCACTGAAGGTCTCAGTGGCCCAAGGGAAACCTATTCTCTTCAGGAAGATAAATGACACAGTAGAACCATTCCCATGAAGGGGGTCCTCAGGCTCTCCTGTACTTTCTCCTCTTCCTTCAAAACGGGGACCCTGTGTCCAGAACTCCAGCCACTGAGCAACAGACGACCAGCAGTAACTTTACTTTTAAGCTGCTTTTTCTGCCAAGGAGACAGATGGATTGCCCTTTTGCCAAGATAAGGCAGCTGATGGAGAAGCTCCACACTCTCAAACTGATGAAGGTGGACCTGCCTAAGAGCAATGAGGAGCCCATGGAATTGGATCTACCTCCATCAGGGCAGAACCATCATCAGCCTATCGCTTTCAGGCAGTGCTGAAGGAGGCCCAGACCCCACCCCTATTATCACAGGGGCACAGCATCCTGTCCAGCTTCCCTCAAATGCACACCTCAATCTTGGCACTGAACCTCCTGCCCTGTAAGTTTACCAATAGCCAGCAGAACCCCAACTCCACTACCACTCTGTGGGCTCCCATGGGACATCCATCTCCTCAGTATTCTTCTTTTGGCAGCCAAGCCTCCTACAAGCCATCCTTCCTGTCCCCACCACCCTTCCCTCATAAGGACTTCTCATTTCTTCTGCAGCAAGAGGAATAAGAGAGGGCAGGGACTGGCATCTGCTGGGCTGCTGTGCTGAGCAGCACTGTACCTGAGCTGCCTGGGGCTGTGGGGAGCTGTCAAAGTGACAGAAGTGGCTGTTACTGTGGAGAAGCAAGATTTCAGTTCTCAAAGGAAAAAGGCAGAAGAGCAGCATGAAGGACTTATTTTCAAGAGTGGAAAAGAAACAATTAGAAGTAATAAAAATGAACAATTCAAAAAACCAAAAAAAAAAAAAAAAACCAAAAAGCACAAAACCAAAAACAAACCCACAAGAATAACCAAAACAATAGATGTTCTTGTTTTTTGGAACTCCAGACTCTGCATGTAGATTCCTGTGTCCCCTCTTGGTCTCCCCAAAGACATTGCCAGGTGGTGTGAGGGCTCAGCTCAGGGCCTGGAGGGAAGGGGCCAGGGCACCTGGCATTCCTTGGCAGGCTAAGGGAGCTGCCTTCAATCAGCATTAAGGACAGAAAGCAGAGGTTTGAGTGCCACCTACAGCTGCTGCTGGGAGCATGGAGGAAGATGAAGCCTGGCTTTTCTCACAGGTGCTAGGTGGTGGGAAGATCATAAATAAATTGAAAGTAATGCCTCCTGAGTAACCTACATAGCTCCCTGATTGATGGCTCATTTTGTCTCACAGAGGAGTCACTCCATCACAAAGGCACCTAAATCTCCAGGCCCTAATGAGCAGTAATGTCTCACTTGGTTTGATTTGAGAGTGAATTTGTTCTCCGAAGGCTTCTCAGTAGGAGTACCTGATTTTAGATTTTGCATAGCAGCGTTCATGGAGGACATCTCTGAATTGTACTTACCTTAATAAAATGCTGAAAATCATGAAATGAAATGATGAAATCCTAACCACCTCCTCATTATCCAGACAGCATCTGTCTGACTTCTCAACACAGGGAGTGTTGCATCCAGTGGGTACAGGAAGTGATTTCTAGCTTGTGCAGTTCACCAACCATAGGAGAAAAATCTGCAAAATCAAATACAGTATTTCGTGAAATATCTAGAAGCACAGTTGCTGAGAAAAGCATATTCTTATGGCTTTGCTTTTCAGGACTCTTAAAAACGTGATATTATCTTTACTCACAAAATGCCTTTCCTTCATCTCTGCCATGACATCCCTGTTCTAAATAGCTGAGCTAGTTTTGCTGGAACTCTCAACAAAAATAAGTATTTTTGGTAGACACAGGAAGAAATTGGCACAGGCAGAAAAGAGAAAAACTGAGGCCAACTGAAGTCCCTGGAAATTCTTGCATAATTTGATCTAAAGCAACCCCTCTGACTCTCATTTCAATTACCATTCCTCTTCAACAGACTGAGGATAACATAACATAGAATTAATCCCCTTGGAAAGAAGAGTAAATCACAGTTATCAGGCTGCAGAGTGCTACATTAAGTAAGCTACCAGCTTTCAAAAAAAAAAAAAAAATTATTTCAAACAAAACAGCCCTGAGGGGACACTGTAGCATCAGCATAACAAAACAAGTGACTGACAGGATAGACAGGTGCAGGCTTTGGTTATGAGATCCTCCTCCACAGCAGGGTGCATACTCCTTGTAACTGTGTCAGACCTTGCTTGCCAAAAATACATCGTACTGCTCATCGCTGTAAAGAGGGCATGGGGCTGAGAGCAGAGTTAAGGGACATGAAGCTGAAGAGTCCACTGGTGGCTTGCGGAAGTGAAGGAAAGCTGGAAAGAGCATTCAAGGTTCTGTAAGATGAATATGGGCCAAATAGCAAGTAGACTGAGGGTGTGAAGGAGGAAAAAGGAAAAGAGTCAGATGGTAACTCCTGCTAAAAAACTGCCTACATTTCTAAGCACGTTCATACTTCCAAGAATTGGGTCATAAGTGATCTGGTTATGTGAAACCCCATTTTAGAAGAGACCTATGTACTTGGAAATCTGTTCCTCTCCCTGAAATTACACAAGGCGTTCACATCATTCTATACAGCGTTTTTGACATCTGCAGGCCTAAGAGGAAATATATGCAAAACTGCCATTGATTTTACTAAAGTTTTACCTTGTGAATTACCATAACCAGCAAATGAGTTAAACTGAGCTTTTATAACATAGACAAGTGATTGATGCTCTTGTCAGTAGCCGGCAGCAACACCTGCTGCAGTGAGACTTGGAGCAGATGCTAGCTTGGACCTCCAGATGAACCACATACTTGCCTCCCCATCACTGTGTCCTTTGAGGAAAAAAAGGGATAGCCAGCAAAAAACAAACAAGCAACTGCGAGCTCATTACAGCCTTGCTCCTGCAAGTATTGCGTGCTTATATTGCACCAGGAACAGCTTCATAGAGCTTCTGTGGAACTACTTTAAGAAGTTAAACACCTATGCATGTCTTTGCAGAGAAATTTGCTCTGCAGAGAAGGCAGATGTGCCATTAGTCATGTTTTAAAGACTTAAGAGTAATATAAATGATTTGTAAGTTCTTACACAGATTGTGTACACAGGCAGATTCCAACAGCATTATTAATGCTATTTGAAGTATTTATAGAAGTGCTTTGCATTCAGCAGTGATTTAAAAAAAAAAAAAAAATCTGTGCTTCAATTGACATCTTAAAGGGATGTTTAGAAACTTCACTAACGTTTTCCCTGAGGCCCTTCCCATGATATCTTTAATACTGAGACATGGAAGGTTAATTAGTGAATATTTGTAAAAGACTTTGAAGATGAAAAGCTTTTTTTTTTTTTTTTTTTAATGCTAAATGTGTTGATTATTATGAAAGCAAGGGTTTTGATGGCTTTTTTTTTTTTTTTTTGCATGGTGCATTGAAGTGGTTTGCTGCGAGTCCAGTTTGCTGCCAGGTTTCCAGAGACAAGGTTACCATCTCCACTTTGTGAGCGCACTATCTGCCTTTTGCTATGCTAATGCCTCTGTGATGAACTTGTGCTGCTAGGGTGCCTGGAGATTCAGGAAGAAGCTGAGCTCAAGTGCCATGTTGCACACCACCAGCAACCACCACTACGGATCAAATGGTAAAATCTTCCTGTTTGCAATGTTAAAAATCCACCAGTTTCCCCTTGACTACAAGGAACATAGCTTTGAAACCTAGGGAATTGAGTCTATTGAAAAAGATCTGTGCGAGTAACCCTACAGCCAAAATCACACCGATGTTCTGGGCAGCCTGCTCTAGATGCCCCACATGACAATCAGAGGTCCTTCCAACCTCAACTACTCTGTGATTCTGTTCTGCTGAGCATGATAGGGTAGGCTGTAATATGAGACAGAAAAGATATGACAGCAACTTTGCCATTGGCAAGTTAAACGTTCTTTTCATGAAATCCCATACAAAACTACAATATTTAGGGTAAAGAGCCAAGTACTAAGCAACCCGCATTAGAGCATCTTTTGTTTGTTTGAACACAAGAGCTCTGCAGTAACAGCATGAATCAAGTAATATTTTCAAATCTTTCTGCTGTTTTAAGAAACTAGCTGTTCTCTTCATTAAACTCATAAAAAAATACCCAGAGTAGTAAGACAGAAAAACGTAGCATTCCTAAGACACTTTGTATTGAAGTGGAAGAACACACAAAAATGAGAATTTTGTAATGGTACAAACTACCTCAAGATGAAGAACACAATGAATTTCCCCAGTGAAAAACAAATCCACAGCTTTTCGCCCCAACCTGTACTAAAATTTTTATTGTACAGTAATACAACATTGGAAGTAAGGCATTTGTACCATATAAATTGTGTAATTTCCCCTCTTTTTCTTAAGATTATATTATAAATTATGACTACAAATTTATTCAGTCCTAATTTCTCACCATCTGTGGTAAAGCAGTCACTGTCTATATATTTGTCTTCAATATGAAGAGTAAGTTCTTATTACACGTGTGAAACGTGTTCTTATTACACATTTCAAGATAAAAATTATAGTTAACATAACAAAGAAAAAGTCATAAGGTCATAAACTGATAAAAGGCACTGCCAGTTCAGTGAATGTGAGCTTTAGCTGGATCCCATTGCTTTGTATTCCCTGAAGAGCTGAAACAGCCCGAGCCACAGAGAGTAACTTCTGCTTGGTGAATGCAATTAAACCATCAAAATCACCAAGGGTGGCTGAAGACAGGCTTGCCCTCTAGTTTCCATCAGTGTTATTAAAATTCCCTCCCTTCAGGCATCCCACACCAGCCCGGATGGTATTTCTTTATCTCAGTTTCCTACCTTAGTGTATAACCAAGATGTTATAATGTATAACCAAGATGTTATAATTTGTATAACCAAGATGTTATAATTTGTATAACCAAGATGTTATAATTGCAATATAATCAAGAGAGTAAAGCAAAGCAGACAACGATCACAAAAGAGAATAAATGGAAGAGCTTACCCTTGGGTTGAGCTCACCAGAAGATACCAAAAGAGGGGATCTCCAGAAGAGATCCTTCCCCTCTGCTAGCCAGCTCTTAAATAGGTCCAGGAGGGATGGAGCCTGGCTCCACCCCTTCCGGCAGCACAGGTGAATTGCCTTCACCTGTGCTCCTCTGGCTGACTCAAGGCTCAACTCAGGTGATTAATCAGAGGTTCAGGCCGTGACTCAGCAGTTCCCATACACTTAGTGTAATGTGTTTACTAATCTTCCAGAGATGTAGTGAAGCCCAGTTTTTGTTGCACACTATCAACAGCCGGCATCATCTCTGCAGGATCACTTCCAGTTGTCTTGATGTACCATTCCTACTTTCCAGTTTCTTGCCATTGGCTTCCTCAAAAACCATCTTGGTGCAAATCCTCTGAGCTGCCAGTATCCCAATGGGCTCATCTCTTGCTTACTAACGATGTTAAGCTTCCCAGTGACCCCTGTTACCTTGGGAGAAGAGCCCTATTAGCCTAAAACATCTCCTATTGAAAGGAAGCAGCAGAAAAGCCTATGTAATTAGTAAACTGACAAGGATGCTTACAAACATGAATTCGGGATCAGTGTTACCTCCACTATCTAATTACACATAGATCACTGTCCTCTCAAGAATTTCTTGCTGTCTGCCTGTATTTTTGTACTGATTTCAAATGCCTATTGCCTGACCTTGCCACTGCCTATGATGGGTCAATGCCCCAGTACCACAAGAAGACATCCTGAGCAAGAGTATCAGCACACTTGCTCCGCAAAAAATTGTTAATTGGCATGGTTTTGCAATGCACAAGAGATATAAAACTGGGGAGAAAGCAGTGCAACATTCAGGAGGAACACAGATGAACAGCCTCTCATGATGCTATTTATCCCTTGTCTAACACGTTGCAGAGACATGCCTGTTGCCTTCTGCAAATATAAAAGTTTCCAAATAAGTCAATTTCAGCACAAAGGCATTCCGTAGTTTTTGCTTGCCTCCTGAGCTGATGTGTGATGGGAATTAGGTTTATTGTCTTCACACATCTGAGACAAATGCAGACCTCACTTCCTTATAACTTATCATGGTTTTGTGATTTGTGATTTTTGTTGTCGATATCCCACATGATTAACATCACGTAAAGCAGTTAAAGAGTTAATGTTCCGGTTCTGTGCACTGCCTTTTTTGGGCATTTTGGTTCTCAGAGGGCAGGGGAGGAGCGGCGATTCCCCAGAGGACGAAAGGAAAGACGGAGCTGCCTGCAGGGCTTCAGCGCGTCTCCCTCTCGCTATGGAGAAAAGCTAAGGAGAAAAGTTCTCCTGCAGTCTACTTCAGTAAATTACCATTCCTCCTCAGATCGTTGCCTTTTTTTTTTTTTTTTTTAAAAAAAAAAAAGAAAAAAAAAACCTACCGTCTCCCTACCCTTCCCCTACCCCCCAATTTCCCGGCTCTCCCGAGGCGCCGGCCCGCGAGTCACTCAGAAGCCCCGGGGCCGGGCCGGGCCGGATAGGAGTAAATGGTTAACGCTTCTCTTTTCCTTCTTCACTACTTTGTTTTTTTTCCCCTCTCTTCGGGCCCGTGCCCAGTCACAGATCTAGAGATAACTCTGTGAGGTAACTACTCTGGCATCCTGAGTACAGCATCCAGATTTCTTAGGCAAATCTCTATTGCATTCTAACCAGAATCAAGTAACAAATAATTCTGTGTTAGCAAGATAGAAGCCCATACAACCATTTTTTAAATGTACATAACATTTTTTTTTTTTGTTCGTGTTCCACAAGACCACAACTTTTCTAAAGCTGACACTCACTGAATATATTCTTATTTACTCTGCAAAAGGTTGTGTGTATGTTGGAAACTCTTCATATGATAAAGAAAAGCTTGGACAAAGCCTGCTTCCTACCAGCAGAGTAAATAAAAATCATAAAGCAAGAACGAACTTAATTCCCTTTGTGCTCACACAGCCTATCTGCATTATTTCAACTCACAGCATTATCTGCACGACTCGAAGAAAACAAATAACTGAGTGTTACAGAAGTGGCGTGCTTCACAGGAATATGTGCAGGAGCTCCTGAGGGCAGGACATACACGTTTGTCACACGGTCCGGTCATGTCCTTGGCGTACACACTGCCGCATCAGACCTCAGATCTCTCGTGCATGCAATCACATTGTAGATCTGCTTAAACTACACCATCAGAGAGAAGGATTAATTACCCATTGGATCAGCGCAGCGATCCTTTGCAGCAACAGCCCGTACTTACACTGGATTAAATGTAGCATGAACCTGTACTCCAAATAGGCTGGAAAGTAAATTGCTTGTTTGAGCTATTTTTTTTCTGCTCTGCTTGCTGGAAGCCTATTTTAAAGCTATGTATTTGCTCACTTTTTAATCTCTTCCAGAAGAGGGCACTGCTAGCTTTTCTTCCGCACCTTCCAACAACAGGAGCCCGGCAGGCTTTGCAGGCTTGGCTGCGCTTTGCCAGCCTCGATGGCTGTTTGTGCTCTTTGCACCTCTCCCCACCGGGCTGTCCGCACAGAACAGCGGATCGGGGCCTGGAGGACTTGGCACCCCTACAAGAGCTGCCCCTCTGGCATTTCTGACCCGAAGCAGCCGGCCCTAGCGCAGCTTGCTCTTCGCAGGCAGCAGCGGAGGTGGTTGTGCTTATTATCCACCACCACAGAACACATGAGTTATCTGCTTTTGATGATTTAGCAATTAGGCAGAAAGTGATACCGTCAGCTACGATCTCTATTAACTGTATATTGACTGGTTAAGAGTGCCAGTAGAAACACAGCTAAATGAAAGCTGTTTGTAAGACAAGAACAGCCATCTCCACTGTCATCATAGCTCACACCTGAGAAGGACAGGAGCCACTGAAGTCTAATGTAATCCTGTTACAATTGGAAAGATTCACAGAGAGGAATGATGATAGAGGAGTTAGAGGAGTATAACAGCAAAGGAACAAGATCAGATGGAGTGTTACTACAAAGGAAGAATGCTCACCAGTCTCCAAAGATCTAGGCTCACAGGAAAATCTTCACAAAGGACAGATCTCCAACCAGAGATCCTTCCCTGAAGCAGTCAGCCCTTAAATGCAGTCTAAGAGAGGTGCAGCCAGGCTCCACCCCTTCCCATCACTCAGCTGTGTTGCCCTCACCTGTGCTCCCAGGGCTGACCAGGTCCTTTTCCCTGGTTCTCAATCAGTGGTTCGGCCATGACTCAACAGTTCCCATACAAATCCATACATCTATACCCAAAAGGAAGAAATGAGAAAGAACTGAAAAGTGTAAATCAGCCCATACAGTACTGGATACAAAGACAAACACTGCTATTTGTGAGCTGGTTCAGTTTCACAGGACAGTGGTCCCTGGGGTTAATGTATGCATTAGATGATACTTCTCTCTTCAGAAAGAAAAGAGGTTTTAAAGCAAAAGGCTTTCTGAAATAAAAGCTCTGATGTGGAACACCTCAAGTATGGTAGGTATTAGAGAGATTTCAGTTCCCAACAATTTAAAGCACCACCCGACCTCTAACTCCAGTTCCTCTTTCAAATATGAGCAGTAATGTCCTCTGTTTTGAATTTGTCCACCTCACAAACATCCTGTGCAGGACACATCCCTTGGTGTCTGCTGGCCCAGACACCTGGGGATCTGCCACGAGTCTACCTCAGGTGGGCACCAACATGTGCTGTGTGACTTCAGAGGAGCTGTGCTGATGGATTAGTAAGTGCCTGCTTTGGTGCCGCATGGAAAAACACTCTGCAATGGTAAGCTCCTGGTGTGAGCAATGTGGCTAACAGGGAGCCCAACCACTCAGCCCTGGGCAGGATGTGGCCTTGGATGAGCTCTGCCATCTTCACAGCATGTGAGTCTGTCATAGGCATTGCAGTAGAGACTCTGACTGTAGCCATGGCTCTTACTGGCTGTCCTGGAAATTTCTTACAGGATTTGGTGTAGTTGTTGCAGGTTTGGATGAGATCCCTAAAGGCTCACTTTGCTCTTTCCTTGCTTGAATTTGGGAATAGTGAAAGATGATGTTTGATCAGTGCTGATGAGAATAATGACGGAAGAACGTGGCAGAGACTTGCCTTCCTCTCCTTAGATAGCAGTTTTCTGTATCTTACCTTAAGGGAGATAAGGAAATTAGAGAATACTAATAATTAGGGAATAAGTAAGGAAACACAACAACTGTGTTTCTTTGGCTGTCCTATCCTTTTGCACCTTTTGTCACTTTTTATGCTTCAGGCTTTTGAACTGAGATCAGTGACATTTCTAAATGTTTATTCTTCCCAAACATTCGTACATTTCTATACTCACCTCATTCTTGATTTTTAATTTCCTCTGTTCTAGTGCTTCAGCGGGGGGATTTTTACCCACCAGTGTCTCCACTTCTTTGGATAATGCTGTGCCTTTGTTTTTCTGTCTGTGAAATACAGAGAAGAGTATTCCTGCCCAATGAAGAAGACTTGAATCTTCACAGTGGAGGTGAATGGACATATATCTCAGTTCCTTTTCAAGTTAAAAATAGTAATACTAATTTATGCAGAATCTTAATTTAGCACTGAAAAAGAAAAAAAAAAACAACAAAAAAACATGCTTCCAAGCAGCAGATTTATTTAATTACTTTTATTAAAATAAAAATATCATGCATTAATACACATTAGACATTTCTGAGAACCAGTAATATTAAGACTACATAAGTTCTGAATAAAGTAAGTTGAGCTGGTAAAACATGCAGCCTATGTGTTGGAAAGGTCTGGATGGAAAGATGAAAATGAGAAAGGTGCTGTAGTGGTTCTTTTTGTTTTTTGTTTTTTCTTTTTTCTTTTTTCTTTTCCCCTCTGTACAAAATTAATCTCTAGAGAGAAATAATGATTTAGTTCACTAGTGATGATACCAGGGACTTATCCAGGCTGAGTGTGTACTGTCAATTCTAGATCCTCTCTACTATACTGTAAACCCAATGTATTTTGCTCCATTATATCACAGATCTCGCAGTTCTTTTTATCTTTGTCTGCTGTGTGTTCCACCACTTGGATAATTAAATACTTATACTTGGGGAACCTTGAGGCTTTATTTCAGTTGCTTTGATAACAGAATTTATCCTTTTTGCTAGAGTAGTACAATAATATTTTTCATGTGTGTGACTCTAATTGAAACTTTTGACTTTCCTTTCCATGGAGTTGTGCTGTGTTGCTGTTGCATAACTCATGATTATGAAATTCAGAGATGTTCATTAGTAAGTATAGCTTGTATGCCAAACGCCACAAGGATGAGAATCTGAGGGATTCTTTGACTATTCTTCTGCTTTTGCTGCCATGAAACAGAAGTGAGAACCTGCCGTGTATTTTGAAAGAGCAGCTTTTCTTAACGCCCTGATAAGCAGCACCGTCCCTTTTATATTACACTTCCAATGGTCGCAACTGTTAGCTGGATTTTTTCTCACATTATGAACTGCTGCACTATCAATAGAGAGAGCCCAAGATTATTGAAGAGAGGAGAGGTTCTGTTATTAGCTTCACTAAGCACTGGACAAATCCCTTAGGTGACCGCTCTTACAAAAATCTAAGCCGACCAAAAAAAATCCCTAATGTGATTTCTTCTCTGGCTACAGACGCTGCAAGCTAGCCACTGATTTTGCTTCCCCCCAAGTACAACAGTATATCACAACAAAAGTTCTCAACAAATTAAAAACAAATAAAAAGAATAATATACACCTCATTTTTCTCACTCAATATACAAACAATCTTTGATCAATAGTATAAACCATTAAACCATATAAAAGTCAAGAGTTTCTTATTGTACAAATAGTGCTTTCATAGTTGAGTAACTTTACAATGCAAGGGTACCACCTGTATCTATGGATATATTGCTTGATAGTTCATTAAAACAAAGACATTATTCCTTATATTCAATTGATTGCATCAATACCAAGCAGCCTAAAATGGGCAATAGATCCATAGGATCTCTGGTTATCAGAATCACTCAACATTAGCCTTGTTTTATACTCTCATTGAAATCAAGTTTAACATCCCATTAATTGCAAGGGGAACAGAATTAGGAATGTAGGATTAAAAAGAAACTTAGGTATGTAAGCCAACCCTCCTATCACTGTACACAACTACTTCACATGTCCCTTTCATTAAATACAAGGATAGCGTTGATGTTATTTGAAAATCCACAGTTTTCAGTTAGATTGCGAGAGGTCAGGAGTATGGTTTGGCTCAATTCCAGAGCAACTGGAAATGATGTACCGTTCAGCTACACAAGAAAAAAAAATCAGCAATTTGATAGGTCACAGGTGTGGTTTTGTGTTTAATTTTTTTCACCTTATTAATCAGAAAATTCATCATTTTAAGGAGAAAGATACAGAGAGACCAGACTGCATCCAGACAGTCCCATGTACAACAAAGCTGAAGCATGCAGGAGGACAAGAGCAAAGGTGGTGGAACACCAGCCCCAAAACTTGCCGAAGGTATTTTGCCTGCTGACTTCAGTGATGCAATTAACATGTCTCTAGCCAGGTCCTCAGTTCTTTTTCTTCAGGAAACTTTTTTTTTTCTAATGCTACTGAGGTTTCCTTCTCCTCTAACTGCAGTACAGCCTGCTGTCTCTGCAGTCTCCTCTCCCAGTCTCATTTTGCTTTATGTACAGTAGCTATTGCTGATGTGAATGAACCATGATTTTCAGTCCACTAGGCTTTGGCAACACAGGTGATCTGCAAATGCACACAATGCCCAACTAGGGAGAATGTGTGGCAGAAAGTGAAACCTATCATGGAAGTGTCGTGATTTCAACTTCTTCACATAATTAAAGTAATGCATAACAAAAAGTGTTTTCATTTTAAAGTCTCCCTGCCTGCTGATGCACTTACTCACATAAAAGGCAGCTATCTAATCATGTCTCATCACTGTATTTTTTTTTCCTAAATCTGAGCCAAAATATAATGCAGTTGTTTCTTTTTTTCTTTACTGTGTCCTTGTTTAGCTATCGCGTTGAATGAAAAATGAATCAAAATTGAGCAGAGGTTGTAGATCTGTCCCTGAAGTGATGTCTGATTCTGATGTTTGGTTTGGTTTTCTATGGACAGGCCTCAGTGACCTGTGAAGCCCACCTGGCACAGTGATGCTTTGGCCAGTCCCAGTGCAGGATGGAGATCAGCAGCTTTTCCTTGTAATGACATAGTGTGGAAGTGGTGATCAATACCCTATTTCTTTAAAGCAAGAAAACAAGATATTACGTCTTTGGTCCTAATGCAGCTTATTAAAAAAGCTTCTTAAAAGTGTCATATTTTTCTTTTGTATAAACTTTATTTTTCTGTTATTTTTTAAAAAGTCTCTTTAAAAACGTGTATGTTGGAACAAAGAGATAAAAACTTACAAAAAGAACACTAGAAAATGGGATTCCAATATAGAAAATTGATTCAGTGGTGATAAAACATTACAAAGCATTCTTGCTAAGTGTTACATGCAGAGTTTGATGCTTCATCAGTATGTGGTTTTCATCAGGAGGGAGGACACAGGTACATTTTCATATCTTGTCCTGATTCAGACTACTTCTCCCAGAGAAGCATGGGCAGAAATAAAAACTGGCATTTTCTAACTCCTCATCTGGAGAGGCAGTTGTACTAGTAGAAGAGGCTGGAACTCTGAAAAATGACTGCTTGTCTGGAAATGCAAAGTTTCTTGTTGGCAGCCTGGAGCACCCCCAGACAGCCCGAGGACACCACAGACACTGTATGAGGGCACAGACACTGCCACAGCCCCAGGTACACCCTCAAGCCTCCTGAAGCACAGAGGCTGAGCCCTGTTTTTTGTACAGTCTCTCTAGAAATATAGAGGACTTCTCTGCAAGGTGGAAGCAGGGAGAGCCATTTGTGTAGCTATTCCCACCCGTGCCTGCAAGAACAATTCATTGCAAACTCGGCAGCTGTCTCAGATGTGGACTGGCTGTCTGTGTCCTCAGCCTGGCACTACTCTGCCCTTCCACTCAAGTAAACCCCAGGAGCATATTTTATAATGCATTATGTAGGAGAATTCCCAAGCCAATTTCCTTTGCAGCAGAAGAAAACAAGCCAAGGCCCAAGTGAAATAAAGTGCACCAACACCGCACACAGATTGCTGGAAAACATCGAAGTGACATGAAGACTCTTGACGTGACTTACATTTTCATATCCAAGCATGTAGTGCTTAAATTATTATTTCAAATAGTTTGTCACTAATTGCTGCTTTATGATTAAGAGACAGTAACTTGTAAGTGGTGTCATTTTGCCTTCCATGAGAAATACAGTGAAAACTGAGGTTTTATTTTCTGGATTATAAAGTGTCTGTTAGCTTTTACCAGTGGCTGTGGCCTGTTCCATTACCCTGTTTAGCTGTGTTTTAAAATCAGTGTTCTATACCCACGTATCCTGAGAGACAACAGCAGCGCTTTCAAGTTATTTTTGGATGCTGATGTATGTAAGCTGTCAAGATGCAGTGCCTTTATCTTTTCCAGTATTCAGAAAATAAAATTCTAATACTTAGTTTCCTAAAAGTTGTAAGCCCACAGCTTCTCTGTCCCATTCAATAGCCTGCATCTTGTACAACGCTGCACCAGCAAGGTGCCTGTGAAAGTGCTGCCTGGCCCAGTTTGGCTTTACCAGCACCTATGGGGCTACTTGCTGTTATACGGTCAGTGACCTGCAGTGGAAAGAAAAAACAACACAGAATGCATTTCAGCTGCTTATTAATTATTTTTTCAGTGGCAATTGTTGGGTACCTTGCTAATGCATGTTACCCAGAAGCACTACCCTGTGTAGCACCCATGCCAACCATGCAGCTGCACAATCTCATTCACCCCAGTGCCACTGTATCTGCCCCCTGAGGCACTGCCTTTTTTTTTATTTTATTTTGCTGGCTTTTTAATCGTTGCTGCGCTGCCTATTTACAAATCATGGCTTAAAGGGTGCATATTTAGTGGAATTATTTCACAATGCAGCTAATCCCACAAATCTGGAATCTTCCTGTATGTTTTTATCAAGAGCTAAATCCTCTTTCCTAGTATTCTCATTAAAAAAATATATATTTATATATATAGATATATAAAAATAATTTTTAGATGTATTTCCTTGTTCCTAGTAATAAGTCTCTACTGAATTCCTCCTAAATAGCTTTAGAAGGGCAAGCAAACTAACCAATATTGAACAATTTTAATGCTACATAACACTGGTTATAGATATTGCTCCTTCTTAGTGGCTTTCTTGTTTTGGATGACAGATTAAAACATCAATACATTCTTCCATGTAATGGTGTTGAAAATTTGCTATGGGAGGACACACACTGTATGATTTTCTAGTGTTCTGCTTGGAGACAGAACAGATTTAGTGAACTGAAAATTATCTGTGCTTTCTTTTAGGACACATTTTGGTTTTATATACATTCCTCTTGGGGTGGTGGGTGGGCAGAAAAGCACTGCCTGTGCATTCACATTGCTTTTGAGAGCAACAGAACAAATGTGCTCTCAGGAATGCAAGGAGAAATCTGCCACTAGTTGGACGTGGGAACTATATTTTGGTTATTGTTTTAAACACAAACCAGCAATAATCAAAGTCAGACACTGCATTCCCCATAGCACTGTGGCTGGGACTCACGTCTCAGTGACACAAATCTATGAAATAGCAGACCAGGAAAACCTTTGGATTTTGACTAAATACACTTTTCTACCTCAAAATGAAAGGCAGCTGATGAACTACAGCACACACTGGAGCTGCCGATGCCTTTTTCACTGCATTATCTATAAAAAGGGTCATTTCACATGACCACTCTTTCACTCCTCAGTAAATCTGTAAAAACAATGTTCTAAAATTGATGAACACGCCTTTAATTTCTGAACTGATGGTTTGATTAAAATTGCACTGCTGCCAAGCTGCTGGAAGGTCACACTTTGGGCATTTCACTCCTACTTCACAAAGAAATATCTTTGCTAGAGAAGTTTTGTAACATGGAGCCCTTGAAAGAGTACCTGCTTTGGTTCCGGTGACTGACATGCTATCAGTATACACAGTATTTATATATTATGTTAAAGTCGTAACCTTGGCTAGTCTGCCTCTTCCACACTGACAACAGAAGCCTGGGCTGGGAATTTTGAAGAAGCAGAAGCTGTGTTTCACAAGAGGTAGGCAATTTTTTCCACCATTCTAGCTTACTCTTCCGAACCCATGCTCACTGACTCTCCTGTGTTGCTTTGAGGTGTGAGAGGTCACCCCACCGGGAAAGGTACAGCCCTAGCCTCTGCCCTGGCATTATACAGCTACTGGCCATATTCTGCCTTGAAGTGAGGAAAGCACTAGTATGGGCATGACCATTTTCTTTGCCAAATGTAGGCGAAAAGATTTCCGAGTCTCTAAAAGAGACTATTTGGCTAGAGCTACCTGTGTTTCCTGCCTTTCTGAAGTTTAATTTAGTATCAGTCTTCCTGTCTGTCTCATGAAGGTTGCAATTTGCAAACATTTGCATTTCCTTGACATTTAATTAGAATCTGTTAAACATTATTTGACACTTATTTTTTCAGTTATGGCAACATCTTTAACAGCTTTGTTGAAGAAGAGAGGCATTTTGACAACTCTACAATAGCATAATACATCAGAAAAACGCCTTGTGTTTTACCATCAGAAAACAGACGAGTGAGTGCTCTGTAAAAATCTACAAATTATTGTGAGCTGCATTCCTCCTGTCAGTTTTTAGCAGCAGTGGTCAGTAGGTGGTGTGTCTTGCCATTCACTCCTTGTGCTGGTTTTCCCCAGAATAATCTGCTTCATCCTGCCATGGACAGAATCTCCCATACATCCACCAGATGCACTTTTCCTATTCATGCCAAGATGCAGTATGTGGAGCCAATGTGTAAAAATCCTGTGTTTTGGAATAACTATTTCTGTTCCAGGACCTTTGGAAAACTATTTAGTAACATTGTTTTTCTTTCTGCTGGTGATCTGATCACCAACTAACAGATGAGCAGTACAAGCATCTGATCTTGTAAAAGATCCAAAAAATCTGTTAGAAACATTTATAAAAATACACATTGTAGAAAGAAATTTGACTGTACATAGTGTACAGCTCACAAGTTCATCCCAGAGTGGCTTCTTACCATGCTACCATTTGAAAATGAAAGGAATGCATCCATCTTTTTTCTGTACAAGAAAGGTCCCGCTCCATTTCAACACACATCTCAGTGCAGGGCATGGGCTTCAGCTATACATGGAAATGGGCAAGAAAAGACCCAAACTGTCCTGTGAGATTGGCTTTGCAGATTCAGATTGCGTGCTGAAGTGTGCTTATTGATGCATTGTGGTTGCCATTCGCGCTGAACAGTTTTTGCTCTTGCAGCAGCCAGATGATTCACCAGTCTGGCTTGCCTCAATGCAAGAAGAAATCCTCTGTGGTCATGCTGAAGCTTCAATGTATTCACTTTTTGGTGCTGCTACCCTCAAGTACTCTGGATTTTCTGCTGCAGGAACTTTCAAGAGACCGTTAGGTTTCGTTTCATTTGGTAGAAAGTCCTGCTGGTAGTCAGGATTGTCCAGATTTATTTGATGATTGCCTGATTGGATCCAGTAAGGAGAGCTCTCGAAAACTGTTTTGGCCTGTGGGGACTGGTTAGTGTTGAGATATTCAGGGTTGTCCACAGCTGTGCTGTGGGAATTCTGGTAGCTTGAGTCCATGGGGAGCTTTGAGTTTGTTGTGAGAGAGATGTTGTTGTAGATTGGATTTTGGACCATGGCGGTAGATGGTTTATTGGGCATCAACTGGTTTACGTACTCTGGAATTAAAAACAAACAAACGAGATAATGGAAGTGCTGAGGTATGACTAATGCAACCATTTGTACCACTTTAGCTGCCGTTTTAATCCATCTGCAACACTTTTTTCAATGCAACATCTCACCAGACTTCCCAGCTCTGCATCCAGAGTGGAAGAGAGCTAAATGCAATGACTGCCAAGCGGTACATGAAGCATACTGCCTTGAAGCTCACCATCAAAATTCAAGTTTCAAAGCAGTAGCTTTGAAACTTGGCTGCAAGATAGCTAGTGCTGATTTCAGCAGCTATGTCCCTGACACTGTTCTGAAATTTCAGTAGGGAGTTTGGCGGTCAGAAGCCATATCCCTCAAAAAATGTTTAGAGATGAAGCAACTACCTGGGAAATACAGAACAGACAGTAACAGAGATTCCACATCTCACTCATATGCAGTCTCTTGTCAGTCTTTTCAAAAGAGATGTGGGAAGGGAGAGAAGGTTAATTTTTTTTGAGGATACTACTTAACCATGACCCTCTCTGCCTTCTGTCTTACTCTGTGATGGCCAGTGCTGTAAGATAATGGGAACCTGTGAGCTTCCTTCTGTGTATCAATATCTGAAAGCAGTGACATGACCAGAAAACTGTTTATATGGCAGAAATGGTATAAGGGGTGAAATCCATGTTGACATGATATTTTCTGAAGTAGTAGAAAGCTTTAAACATAGACTGACACACCTAAACTTCCTGACCAGATGGCACACGTGGTAAACATGGGGAACTTGGCTCATGAAGGAGTGGAAATGAGAGGTGGCCAAAAGCAACCAGAAAAAGTTTAAGAACAGGATATGTGCATGCGTTTCCACTCTTGTTTACTGAGTAAAAGCAAAAGGTAGGAAACATTTGGACTGCTTCCTTTCTCTCAAAGAGTAAGGAAGACAGCTGAATTCATGCAAGAGTCTTAACTGATCAAAAGGTTTGTGAGTGAATAGCCTAGGATGGAAACATAGGAGAAGTACTTACCTGGAGCAGGCAGGAAGCCATCATCTATGCTCTCCTCCAAGAAATTACCTGTTGGGTCTGAGCTGTACCTCTGGACAAAGCTGTCTTCCCTCACAGGGTGCCCCTGCTAGGTTGGAAATGCAGAAATTCAGTATTACAGGGACTGTTTTGTAGAAGTTGACTTGCATAAGTGAGGTATAAAAGTAGGGAGGGGGGGGTTCAATAGGAAAGTGGTCACACAGTGCTGCTACTCCTTTTTTATGAGTCATTCCACTTACCCCATTTCTGTCAATGCAGGTTGTAGCAGAATTGTTGCTAGTAGCGCTCTTTTGAAAAGGAGGAGAGAGAAAATACAGGTAGCATGAGAAACAGTTCACTCTCTCATTACTTCTTTTTTTTGTTTTCAGAGAGGAAAAGCTTCATACCAATGAACTCAGGAGAGGAGTCCGAGATGTAGATGGGCTGTTGAAAAAGCCCTGGTGTGGGACGAGATACTCATCTGCATCCACAATGTCTTCCATGTCCTCCTCCTCCATCAGGGTGCGATAAAACTTGGAATCTGTAGGGCTGGGCAAATGCATCCTTTCATCTCCCTGTGAGACAAATCAGAGTGAGAGAGGATTCCATCAAGTTGAATTCCTTCAAGCCCTCACTATCCATAGAATTTGGACTTGCGACGTCCATGCTGCTGTAAAATATCTGCATTTTTGTAACATCTTTTGAATATTTTGTAATATTCAAACTATTCCAACTCCGTTAGCCTTTCAGAACTTCAGTAAGTTATTGGGCATAGACGGGACCAGTGTTAAGAAAATATTGGTCTTGAAATTCTGTCTGTGGTTCTAGCTGAATGTGTTAAGACCTGGAAGGCAAGAACTGTCCTTAAATTATCAGCATGCGCTAGAAATTATTTGCAGTATACCTTCTCAACTCATGCTGTTACTTACTGAATGTAAGTTCACATTCTGCCAAAAACAGCTGTGCTGTTTCCTCTTACCATCAGTGCCAGAGAGGATGTTCAAAATCTATTCTAAAACTGCTCTTGTTTTCCTAAATGGCTTCTCTTTCCACATCATGTTTCAGCAAACATCACAGGAAATAATCCTTCACTGGCAAGGAGATAAACAGACCAACAGATTCTCTAAAACACAGAGCTCTGCCATTTCAGTCAGCTTTCACATCCTCATACCTATGCCATTTGTGTTGGATCTTTTAGCTTGAAGTAAATGTCAACATAAAAAAAATTTTGCTGTAGCACCCAGAAGTGGTATGGGCAGGATAAATCATTCCGCCTCGGAAGGAAGCAAAGCATGGGAACATTGGCCTGTGTGGCCTGGCATCTTTTGTGTGGAAAAATTGTCCAAACCAGGAATTTATTTTCCTATTCATCATTAATCATTCTGGACCCGATATTAAACGCCCATTAGACATGTTGTTCAGTACCTGTATAACAAGATAGCGGGGAGGGTCACGAGCCATTTTGGAGAACTCTGCAATCAGCTCACGAAACTTGGGCCGGCTGTCTGCGTCGATCATCCAGCCTGAAGGGACAGCAGGGAGAGCAGTGCACAATTGAAATTGTTTCGGCAATCAGACACAGAGTCTGAAATAAAGTGTAACAGCTAAAAGAGCAGTGCTATACATGGTAAGAAGAAAGCAGCTGCCTGTAAGAGATCACCATAAAAAATTAATTAACCAGACGCTAGCTGGTGCGAAGGTCAGCCTTTAAGAAGTACATCCTGGCAGTTTGGGAAGCATGAAGGAGGCAGTAAAATCCCAAGGCCAGATAAGCTGCAGCCTAAGCCTGTCCACTCTCTTCCTGGCTTGTCTCTGCTTGGACAGAAGGTCCTACAACGTGATAGTAAGGAACAAGACCTGAGGACAGCTAATTGGGGCCAGTCTGGATTTTGAAGGAAGAGAAGCAGAGTATTTTCAGCAGAATCCTGCAGATATATGATAATTTGCCTATTCCTTACTGCACTGCTTCATGAAATCCTTGCAGAAGACCTGCAATTTTCTACCCCGTACCAGATATTTTCTAAAATTTACATCTACAAAATGTTTTGAAAGATTAACCATACCTAAGTTGTATTTAATTAGTATGTGAACTTTAACTACAGTTTAGGGTGGATCAATGATGGAAGAGATTTCTAATCTTGATACTGGTGGCTTTACATGTGAGATGACTTAAAAAATCCACACTTTCCGATATCAACTAACAGATGTGGTGATATATAGACACTTGTGTTTGAAATTAGAAGAAAGCTTAATCTTAGTATGTCTGAGAGAACTCATAAAAGCAGCTTATCCAAGGCAATGGAGGAGCAAAGTGACAATACGCCATCTGAAATCTGCACTGGACAAAATCTCATCAGTGCCAGTGGCTTTTTTGTCACATTGAAGATACTATGTGTGCTAAATTCTTCCAATGCAGTTCTTACCAATTAAGGAAATTCTTCTCACTTTAGGAGAAAGTGGACCTTTTGGAAGTATGCTGCTCTTGCAGAAGCAGCATCTACTGCTTCTGAATTTATCTTTTAATTGCATGTGTTTAAATATAGCTTAAGAAATTGTGTGTAATAACTTCCAACTTTTCAGTTTATATTCTCTGTTTATAAAAGGAGATGAATGGGAATCCCAAATTCTTTTAGACAAGAGGGCATGGCTTCAGCAGTGTCTGCACTGCAACCTGTACACAAGGTCTGATCAGAGCAGTGAAAAATGTGCCACTGAGTCCTGTGGGACAAGGAAGGCTCAAACCCCACATTCGCATGCTCTTGCTTTTAAATTTAGTGCACTGGTATAAAAGAGAGTAGTGACACTCCATTGGTAGTGTTTTATAAGCAAGAGGTACCCGACTGAGTGCCTGGAAAAACGCCTGCTTTCTAGCTCTAGCCTGGCTTTAAAGAAGGGCAGTGAAATGGAGCTGCCAGGACTCAAAATCTCAGCATTTGGAGACACACTGTTGTGCAGAGCTTTTGAAGATCTGGGACAGGATTGCCAAAATCTGGTAGGGCTCAGGTGTCACCAGGGCTCAGCATTGCTGAGGAGGGACTTCCAGGAGAATGCTTATGGGTCTGAGCACTGCTGATGGATGCAGATGGACATGTCTGGATGTGGTTCCTTCTCACCACAGTGAGCACAGGATCAGACTCTCCTTGCAAAGTGCCTTTCCCAGCACAGCAATGCACAGGCTCTCCAGGCCTATCCAAAGTGCTATACTACAGGGTCGATGTTGTAGCACAGCTTTTATTTCAGCAAAAGCTACAGTCTGTTCCAGTGAAAAGATCTTAAATGCCACCTGGTGGGCTGCCTCTCAGCATCCTCACAAACTCTACTGGCAGGGATGCAGCCTAATCTTGGCTTAGGAAGCAAGGTTACAATCTGACATTTTAGCAACTGATAGATGAAAAAGGGGTTTGAGATTTAGAAGCCCTTCAGTGTGCCCTACCTGACAGCATATTACTGAACTAAGGCTGAGCCTGGAGAAGTCATTGTTAGTTTTATTTTCTAGGTGTTTAAAACCAGAGTATCAGGTCACATGGACAATGTTATACTGATTTATACTGCCTGGCATCTTAAAATAATTGACAACATCAGCCAGCAGTGTGAATGGTGAAAAACCATTAGTTGGCTGAATTAGCAATTAACGAAATCGTGCCCTGTACTCCTACCTAAGGCATGAGGTGCAGGAATGCACCCTGTCACTGCTCTTTTCATGTAACCTAATTTCCATGCCATCACCAAGAATACAACATACAGAAATGCCTACATAATGAAGACAACTGTGCCACTTATTGGGCTTAGGAAAGCACCCACAAATCCACTGAACTCACATTTGACCATGATCATGTACACATCAATGGTACAAATGGGTGGCTGAGGCAGACGCTCGCCCTTCTCCAAGACAGAGGAGATTTCACTTGCAGGGATCCCATCGTAAGGCTTGGACCCAAATGTCATCAACTCCCAAACTGTCACACCTGCAGGGAAAGGAGAAGAAAGTGACTGAAATTTGGAGGAAGCCGAGAGGCTTGCCTGGATGTGTTTGTCAATTGAGAGAAAAACACTGACAGATCCTCATCCAGGCAAAGCACTTTTTGCCATGATATTAAAGACATACACATTAATAAAACAGTTTGAAATCATCCTGCCTTCCTTTATTTCTTTTTAATTGCAACTAGTGTCTCAGTGTTGAACATCTCACAGACTTTCCAGCCCCGCAGGAAAGAAAGGAAATATAGGTTACAGACTCCTGACTCAGCTTAGAAAGGGTACTGAAAAATGGAAGTTGTCTTTTTGTTTAAAACAGTCTCTTTGGAGACCAGCAAGAGCAGTTGTTGAAAGATGTGTAAACCATCTGCCTCAGTGTTGTTTGCTGATGACATACTCTGTGATGTAGCTATTGTGATTGTCCAGTAGCTTAGGATACAAAATAAAACTTCGGATGCCAAGATACATAAATGGATTAAGGGAACCAGAGACTGTACTTTTTCTAAATGGATACAGCGTCTGACATTTGTACTTCTTCCAGGAGTATGACACCATGGAGTGGAAATTTTGCAACAAGTTGCTCTGAAAATTTTCCTTTCAGCTCTTTTATCTCTTGTACAAAGTATAAAATGAATTATTTCAGTTGCTTTTCTTTCCTTGTTGTCCTCTCAGTACCCAGAGAGCACATCATACTCCTTGCCTTTTTGCAACTACTCTGAATCATTTTAGGCCACCGTGACAAAATAAGGTTATATCATCACCTCAGATAGTGCCAGAGGAGAAAGTGGAGTTACACTGACTGATGCTGACTGGCAGTGTGGCCAATGGTTTTATGTCCTCCCTCTCATTACACTGTTTGATTTTTGGTCTTCAGCAGTTCACCGTTTGGAGGAGTGCAGTCTCCCACGTGTAGCTCCTGTCAGGGAAGGGCTCACCATGTGGAAGCATACTCTGCAAAACTTCTTACATCTCACCACTGCTCAGTTCTGTGGGAATTTTACTTAGTGAATAGGTGATTTTGGCCCATTATTTAGGTTTAATCTCTCAATCTTCAGATAATAGGAAGAATAAAGAACTCTTTTCAATGACATTGCAATTGTTCCAACACATCTACAAAAACTATAACTATATTTTCAGACTCACCATAACTCCAGACATCACTTTGATGAGTATAAATTCGGTGTAAAATTGACTCCAATGCCATCCATTTAATAGGAACCTAGGAAGATCCACAAATTAGCCGTAAGATGCTGAACCAAATTTTATCAGCAACCTTTACCACCAGGTGGTGTTTAAGTCAATGATTTGGTTGTAGAAGGGGGTCAAAAAACACAGTGAAACAACACAATTATTTGAGTGGAAAGCAGGCAAGTTCTGAGTCCCTTGTTACTGTTTTAATTTACTATGCTAAACCTGGAAACTTGTGAAATTTTTGAGGCTATTATAAATATCTCTTACAAGTTAGTTTTACCATATTTTTAATAGTTAAATTACTAATTTTTTAACTTTCTCCTGTTGTAACAGAATAGAAATCCAATCTCAGACAGTATGACACAGACTGATTTATGCTCATCTGATTTCCATTTATGGTTGCTGCAATATTTGCAAGCAGATTCTTGTTAATTTCTCAGCAGGACACATTCCCTTCATCAGCATGTAGTACAACATAAAGGCATGTTGAACCAAGCCTGACAGGTCTTTCTTCTGCTATAAACATACAGCATTCCCTTTCTCTTCACAGACTGCACTGTTTTATTGGTGTTGGCTCTGTGATGAATTCAGACATGCTTTCATTTTTATTGTTTTTTAAATAACCTTGTTTTTTTCCAGACATTCAGGGTGGGAATTTCAAAAGCCCTTGCTGCTCTGCAACCTCTGCTCCTACTGCAGTCACACTGGCCTGACGCTGCTCTGGCTGTGCTCAGCAGACTTCCACAGGCTTCAAAGGCAGCAAGCTGAGATTGCAGCTGAGTCTTCTGAAAAGCCCACTTCTTTTTTCCTATTTTTAACATGAAGACTCATGCATGAACACACGAACACACCGATAAACACGCCATGGTTCATCCTCTAGTGCCTTGTACCTTGCCTCCCTCTGCGTGATACTCCTTCTCATCAGCCCCAAGCAGCTTTGCCAGCCCAAAGTCTGTGATTTTCACATGTTGTGGAGTCTTAACAAGGACATTCCTGGCAGCAAGGTCACGGTGCACCAGGCGACGTTCCTCCAGGTAGTTCATTCCCTGCAAAACAACAGACTGGTGGTAAGCCTCTTGCTCATATACTTCGGGCTTTGATGCGCAAATAAGTCACCAAACTTCAGCTGCTCTATGGTAACTGTATACACACCACCATATACATGTGGTAACACATTCCCCTTTCAGAAAGATTTGCTGTTTTGAATTTTGTGATGCTGATTGCAGGATGAGGGCATGTACTACACAGAGGAGGAGGTAGTTACGTTACTGTCTTGTAGTAACCTTTCTGTGGGTCTGTATTCAAATGGAACCATGGAGATATAAGGGATGTCAGGAGGTATAGCAGGGGATGTGGTTCCTCTAGGACTTTGTTCAAGACATATAAAATCAGCACAGTACTGTCAAATGAGCGGGCAAACCCATCTTTCAGGTGTGGTTGTGCAACTCCTATGACCTCAAGGTAGCACAATATCTGGTGACAATCACCATCCTTATTCACACAGGCAAACCTCACTGGGAGAATCTAGACACAAACTGCCTGGGAGAAGAGTCCAAGCAAAAATAAATTCATTATTCAAAGCTGCCATTTCTGTGCCTTGTTACAATGAACTCTGCCTTTGCACAGATAGCAATTAGGCATCTCTGCAAACACAATAAAAGGAAAAAAGTTAAAAAACCCTCATGTAATGGCTGAGCTCAGAGTTGCACCTATTTTCAAGTCCTCTTTGTAAAGGCAAGTTCTTCTGGTTTCATTGCCATAGCATACGTGCTTTTTTGGTACAACTTCTCTCAAGGAAGAACAGACTTTTCTCTGGAGTGACTACAGATCTCTCAGACAGATAAAACTGCTAATTGTGCTGGTTTGATTTTTAAGGCATGATCCTAACATCTGCCTCTCTGACCATAGAGTTAATTCTTTGTTCCCTCAACTCCAATCTTGTGGTGCACGGAATTAAATAAAACCATGATTTCTAAGTTTCCTGTGAGATCCCTTCTAAAAACCACAATTATTCCCAGTCCATAGGTTTCTGCTGGCAGTAGATTACATGCTTGTATTTTTACAAAGACAGAATTCATTTAAAAAGTGCTTTTGGCCTACAGAATTAACACCAAAACGAGCAAAATTTGATGACAGGGCACTGGAGGGAGTAATTCCCTTCCATACTCCACTCCCATCCTAAAGCCCACTGTTAACCTGGACCACCAGTGAATCTTCCACTGCATTTTCTCAGCAGAACTTCACCCCTGTGCTTAGAGCTGCTTGTGTTGCCAAAACAAACCACCCAAACAGACTGGCACAAAGCCTCTGTGAGCATGCGTTTAATTATACAAATATGTCTTTAATGAGCAGAGTTCTTGAAAAAAAAATGAGCTACCAATAGAAAACTGACTATCTTAAAAAAATCACAAAATCTCACCCCGGTGGAGCAAACATTTCCTGCTAAGCATGTATTGCTGCAGAGTCTTATTAGGACTCAAAGCTACTGAAAAGCAGAATATCAGTTTCACACTAAGCTATTTAAGACTCTGGGACCCAAAGGACTTGTACACATGCATAAGCATACACCAAAGATGTTGAACTGCTCATGCAGAAAGTACAACAGATCTTTATTAGTGTTCAAGTCTCTGATTTAAGCCATTTTTTCATCATTAAGTGTGAGACTAATATGTTCAAAGAGACTTCCACATGGTGTGGATAGACTCATTTTGTCTGAAGGACATGGCTTAGTAAAATATAATGTTTGTGAAAGATACAAAGAGAAATTATTTCAAAGCTGTGAGAACAGAAACAAAAATAAACTTCGCAGTGAATTTGTTACCTTCTGGTTAGTTTCCAGACACAAGTATATTGTTATAATTTTTCTCCCCATTTTCAGAGTCAGAGAAATTCAAAATACGGGGCATGACTTTATCAGTGCAGCAGAAACACCAGACACATCGGGGGGAAAAAGCCATATGCGCTATTTACAAGCACTTTGAGGAGAACTTCAGTATGGAGCAACACAAAGGAGGATGCTGAAGGTCAAGCAACACTGGGAAGGGTAAAGGTTGCTATAGGTGAATGCTGAACTGATGTGAAGAAAAGAAAAAAAGAAGCAACTATTGTGGATGGTAACGTTTCAGGCAAGCGCACAACAAATGGGGTGTTCTGAGGATCAGTCTGGGGACTGATTTTGACACCTCAAAAATGAATGAGGAGGAGGAAGAAAAGGAGGGAAATGTGGCCTCCGGTTCATCATCCACAGGAAGAAAGACCAGGAGAGAGCAATAACTGGTTTCAAATGAGAGAGCAAGAGTCAGAATAATGGCAGCTCATGTTACCGGTGGACACACAAACTAATTTGCTGTGGAGTGTGCTGTAAAAAGTACACTTAACTAGATGAAAAGTATGCACTGTATACTTCTGGTGGATACATTTCTGAAAGCAAACCATGGCCAGGAGAGCCTGAGATGTATACAAGGTCTCAAGGGACCAATAATGCGGTAAGTGTGTGGTTAACTTGGTATTACTGAAATGAGCAGCATTAAGGATCTAGACTTTGCAAATAATGCTTTCTCACAAAACAAGCCTTACACAAACTGCAGCTTGGTTTTGTCCCACTCTTACATACCGAACCATCTTTCACGCAGCATACTGCTGCTAAGGGCTGTACTTCAATCTCCTTTGCTTCTCTTCTCCTTAGTTCCATGCACAGGCAGATAACCAGTGCCAGGTGTGATAATGATGTTTATTTAGCACTGTGGCAATTTGATCATGCACCAACTCATTGTATCTGAATTGCAAAAATCCCTGTGGTGCCTGGAATGTCTTTGGTCACAGCCAGATGGTATTTATTAATCAGCAGTTTTGATCCCCAGACCACACAGATTTCAGCCTGAAAAGCCAGGGTCATTCTCCAGGGCATGCTAGAAAGTATATTTAACATTACTATTTGCCTTGTGGCACAGCCCAAATAAATACGGTAACTTGAAGCAACATTTTGTTATGAGAATGACGGATTCTTTTCTCCGTCACAACTTAATTATATGACTGTTTCATCACTGGGTGATTAGTTTTCATTGGTGACAATATTATGCTGCCTAGGAGCAATTTGTTTGCTCAGTGGCTTGAAAATAACAAATTGTTTAAAACAAAGCGACGGCTTGGTGATGTGTATCAAGTTTCCAGGAACTATGGGGCATAGTGAAACACGGAGACCTGCGCAGACAGGTAAGTAAACAAACACATGATGTATTTCCTGATATCTCTGTCACAGCCTGGGTCTTAGCTCGCCCCAAAGCCAAGCCGGTCAACTTACCTTTGCAATCTGCACACACCAGTTGAGGAGGTACTGAGAGCCAATGTTGTCCTTGTGCTCTCGGATGTAGTCAAGGAGGCAGCCATAAGGCATGAGCTGGGTGATGAGCTGCACAGTAGAAGTGAGGCAGATTCCCAGCAAGCGGCACACATGAGGATTGTCAACACTAGCCATCACATAGGCTTCCTGAGAAGAAAGAAGGGAAGAAAGGGATGTGAAACACTCCCTTATGTACAACCAAAATATTTGTCTATGATATCAAGAAAATAGTTATACATTTTATGAAAAACTTAATAAAGCCTTTTGGGCTTGAGTTTCATAAATACCTGAAAAACTCTTCTTTCAAGCCTGTACACCCTGAGTAAGGTAAACACGGTGCCTCTTCTTTGCTCTGTCTGCAGTTAAGAGACAAGAGAGGTCCCGAGAGGCTCTTGTAGCCTCTGGAAAAACTGAATACACCTTTTAACATGGACATGAGGGATAAGCCACTCAGACTTCACAGTTTTTTATGCAAAAACTACTTACAGATTAAAATTTGGGATTTGTATTTGTATTGAGATCCACTGTCAAGAGCCAGCTCAAAGAATGGTGTAGTGATGGACAGTGGGCTGAATATGAGCCAGCAGTGTGCCCAGGTGGCCAAGAAGGCCAATGGCATCCTGGCTTGGATCAGGAACGGTGTGGTGAGCAGGACCAGGGAAGTCATCCTGCCCTGTACTTGGCACTGGTGAGGCCTCACCTTGAGTGCTGTGTTCAGTTTTGGGCATCTCAGTACAGAAAGGGCATGGAGGTGCTGCAGCAGGTGCAAAGAAGGGCAGCAAGGCTGGGGAAGAGCTTGGAGAATATGGCCTGTGAGGAGAGACTGAAGGAACTGGGGCTGTTTGGTCTGGGGAAGAGGAGGCTGAGAGGAGACCTTACTGCTCTCTTCCAGTATCTGAAAGGTGATTGCAGCAGAGTGGGGCTGGTCTCTTCTCACTGGTGACAGGATGAGGGGAAATGGCCTCAAGTTGCACCAGGGGAGGTTTACATTGGATATCAGGAAACACTTCTTTATAAAAGGGTTGTTAAACACTGGAATAGGCTGCCCAGGGAGGTGGTTGACTCACCATCCCTGACTGTGTTTAAAAACCATTTGGATGTGGTGCTCAGGGACATGGTTTACTGGTAGGTTGTTAGAGTTAGGGTAGTTTGGTTAGGTTGTGCTTGGACTTGCTGATCTTTAAGGTCTTTTCCAACCTGAGCAATTCTATGAGTTATATACAATAGGGGAAAAAGCAAAGCTGAAGTTTTTTTTTAACTAACTTCCCATTTGATTTTGCAGTATTTTTGTTTTGGACATCTTAAAAGACCTTTGATTGAAAACTGATACAATTAAATAAATAAATGGGGATTTTTCCATGCAGTGAGCTTTTACGTCGGTATCTTAACTCAGTATCTAGAGTGCACCAACTAATCATCCATTGAAAGTTTCAGCATTAAGTCAGCAGCCCCCAGAAGCCTAAACTAATAGTCAATGCCCACAGAGCACTATTGTGGCAGGGAAAGAAGCAAATCTGCACTTTCTAATAGCTTAAAGAAATGAAATACCACAGCAGTAAACTCACCACCTAACCAGCTTTCCACAGACGTCATATAGCTGTGTAGCTGGTAAGAACTATTATTAAACAAAGATATTATAGCAATGACGTTCAAGAAATAAACAATCCCAATTCTTAAGCAATACATTCTGTCCCTGGAATTGTTGTATGACATGCCAGCCTAAACAAAACATGACATAACGCCATTTCTTCAGAGGTGCTAAGTCTGCATTTGGTTTCTTTGTTTAAGAGCCAATGGGATGCAAGTGGCCTCCAGGCAGCCAGTGTGAAGATGATCTCCAGCAGAACTCAAATTAAGGGATCCTCAACCTCCTGCAGAATGTGAGCAGGTAACCAAAAAACTATATTTTGTCAAGGAGAATGCTGAGTAAGGTAGCTTGAGGAAAGACAAAAAAAGAATACAATGTGCTCTTTAATTACGTAAACATTTACGATTTTAAGACAATCTTGTGAATTTACTATGATGCTTAGATGGAAGCAGAGAGCAAAATACGCTCATCTCAAGAGGCCTCAAAACCCAGCAGCAATGATGATTAAGGGCGTCTTTTCCTAGTGTTGCTTCCTGTTGGGATTCAGCTCCGTGCTGTATTAATTTCTGCAGGGGGAAAAGAAATCTGCAGGCTCAGAGCTGCTTTCTGCCCATCTGCCACACAGCCCCTGCTGGGCTGGCTTGGGGCAGAGCAGGGAAGCTGGAGGCGTGGAGTTGGCATTCGGCCACACAGCTTTCAGAGAGCTCCCAGATTTGGTAATAGGGAAATAGGGCCACGGCCTCCTCAAAGGGAGCAGAGGGGAGCTATTGCACATCCAGCATCCCTCCAAGTACTCGTAGACATTAAAGTGAGCCTTTGTTTCAACTGTTTATCTTGGAAGTCTCTGTGTATGCTCTGACCTGCTCCAAGTATGCTTGGTATTCAGCAACAATCTTCTGAATTAGCCCTACCCTAATAAAGTCAGCGAGACCTTGTATGGATTACAGGAACTAAAGCTGATGAGCTGGTTTGATGCCTAGCATGTTTCTGTAGGAGAAATCACCTTTAATTGATTGTCATTATCTCTGATGTTTCGGTGACCTTAAAATATTGGTTGTGTAGCAAAAGGAAAAAAGCTTTTGGAATCGTCTTTCTGACTTCTTTCAACAGAAAGTATTTTGATACCACCAAAAAAGCATGCAGTGCACGCAAGTACCAAATGTATCATTTGGGCATCTGGCTCTGCTGAAGGCAGGATGTGGTGCCACAGGCTTATAAATTAACTTTTCCTTCACTATACAGGAATTTGACACAGTTCAATTTGTGAAAAATGTGTTGTGCTCCTTATCACTGTGAAACAGCCCCTGGAAGGCCCATGCAGGAGGAAATCGGCCTGCCCTGGATGCAGTGGAGCAGTAGCAGGACCCATGGTGGTCCGGGACTTGGAAAAGCGTAAGACTGGCCTGGGGGCAAAGGGTCTGTGCTGCTTGTGTCTTGTCCAATGGCTTAAGGGAAACAAGTGGTTTCTCCCCATGGGATAATGCTAGGAAGCTTGTTCCAGAAGTCCAGAGACAAAATCTGGAAGACAATTTCCAGACCATAGTTGTTTAGCCATGGCTGTCAGCAGCTCCTGGGGACCTGGCAAGGTCTAACAGAGATCTCAGTCATCTGAGAATTGCTGATCTTTGTCCCTCTGAAAGCATATGAGAAACAGTGCCTCAAAACAGCCTTTTCCCTGTTTTGTGAAATTGCAAGTCTTATCCGAGTAAGAAAGTAAAATTCCCAAGCTTCTTTCAGGAAGTGAGACAATTTTTCACTTTTCATGGCTGAGAAACTAGCTGGGAATTTTTCTTTGCGGATTAACAGTTAACTTATTCCTTTATAACTAAGCAACCATGTGACAACAATCTGCAATGTCAGGATTCAAAACAGTCGCATTATGACCGCAATTTTATATGAAGAATTCTGGCTGGGATGTTAAATATTTCTTGCCAGCCAATGTTCTGAAATCCCTTTAGCTGCTAAAGGGGAAAATCCACAGTCCACTGTCAACTTGGCAAAACAAATATGAACACTTACATCAAGTATTTCCTTGTTGGCTTTTGGTGATGTAGCCTCTCTCAATTCTTTAATAGCAACAGGAATTTTAACCTTTTCCCCTTCTGGGATCCAAAGTCCCTACCAAAAAGAAGAACAAAGAATTACTCAGATCTTATGCCTAACAATTTCATTCTCACAATTATGTACACGTTTTACATCTTCTGAGTAGACTTAAATATTCTGAGCAATGGGAAAGCAAAGCAAATAACAAAAAATTTGACAATCAATATGCAAAAAGTCATTATGTCTTGCGGGTATTAATCCTGTCAGTGGAATGACATTTCATTTTTTGTTACTTCTACCGTATTTTTATGAAAAAAAATACAAAAAAACTCCATGTTAATTACCTGTATGGATAGCCCAAGACATGCATAAGGAACACCTTACTTGGATAGAAATCTAATTAATTAGCACATTGTGGCGTCTGCAATAGGAAAACCTGGCCACTTCCAGTTTATAAATCACTGGTTCAGCAACACACAAAAAAATCCCATGTTATCAAATTAATAAATGAGTTAATGACAATTTCAGTAGTATCTCCGCCAGTTCAACACATACAAGTTATGAAAGTGAAAAAAATCTACAACAGTAACCTCAGCTCTCAATTCATGCTCTGTTTGGGTGGCTTTCCCGTGTGGGAAGAGGGGAAGAGAAACATTGTGATCTTACCTTATAAACAGTGCCAAAAGCTCCAGAACCCAAAACTTTGACCTTTTTAAATTCTGTTTCCTTTAAAATTCTCAGGTGGGCCTGGTTTGGTGCCTCCCCACTGGGTGTCAGCGGTTCGACAAGCTGGTGCAGACAGAAGAACAAGGCTTTAGAAGGACGCAGGTTGGGGTACAGCAAGCAGCACAATTTGGGAAGGAAATTAATCCTACATTTAAATAATGAACATATTATTCCAGCTGAAATTTATGTGAGGGCAGATCTGCTCTGACTTACAGCAATAAATATCTAGATTTGTTTCAAATTTCAGAGGTAAAATAAATCAAAATAAGCTCCACTACACCATTTCTGTTCACTGAAATTGAGCAGAACAGCAGCTGCCATTTTGAAGGAAAATGAAGGAATACTGCTGTTCAAATGAAGACTTAGACATAAAAGACTTAAAAAATATGGCACAAAGAACAGTGCAATTACCACAGATCTTCAATAAGATCATTTTTTTCAACTTGCATATAAATTATAAAAATGTTTAAAGTAATGTGCAAGAACCACCTGCAACCTTTCAGGTTTGCTCTTGTTTAATTAGATGAAATTCCCATAGTACTGGAAGTAGCTCCCCCAGACCACAGCATTTAAAAACAACAGTTTAAACTCTGAGCACAATCATTGTATAAATCGAAAAGGAAAAGTTGAATTGACTGTTAAAATTTGATCTAAGCCTTGTTGCAAACAGTAGCAATGGCCTCCAAACAGAAATATTTAACACTTGTTTTGATATGTAAGTCAGTTTTTTCCCTTTGTTGATTTTCTTTTGTTGCCACTTGGCTTCTCAGGAGGGAGAAATGACTCAGTGCTGAGGGTTTACATGGCAAGCATATTACACATCACCCCTCAGGCAGTCTTTTCCTCGAGTAGCAATTTTCAGTGATTGCCACTGAGATTTATACATCTAAATCCCTATGGCTTTGGAAAATTATATCCACAGAGATCAGACTTAAGATTAAACGAGAAGGTGTTAGGTGCCCACTGCCTCTTTTCCAATGAGTGTGGCAGATGCCACGGCAGCCAAGCCTGGGCTTATTGAATTACGAGGCAGATCCCAGTGCTGCAGCTCTCAGGTTTAAGGTGGTCCGGCTCCATTGCCCTCAGGAAAGCAGGCAGGGTTGGCAGTTGGCAGTGCTCACCTCCCTCTCTTGCAGCAGCCTGCGCAGCGTGCGCTTCCGCACGATGTGACGTCGCCGCAGGTACAGGCCAATGCCCAAACCAACCACAACCAGGCACAGGAGTCCTCCGACAACACCAGCCGCGATAGATGGAGTTTTGGAGCTGCCGGGCACCAGAGATGCAGAAAGAGAAGAAAATGCTTAGGTGTGTGATTCAGGAAAAACCTACAGAGGTTGCATATACATTTCTGATTTTTGATTGGACACCTCCCTACAACAATTTGACATTTTGGGAGTCTGGTGTAACTGTATTTTTAAGTTCCTCACCCAGCCTTTGTGTTTATTGATTGCCAGGGAGTAGTGAAAAATCAAAAGAACTGAGCTGATTTGAGACCATCTGTACTTCTACTGTGCTTTGCACTGGAGATTTCTCCTCCACTGCTCTGCCATCTCCTCCTCCTGCAGATGATTGTTTTTCTGTATCTCCCATTTCTGTGCTGTTTGCTTTTGTAGTTGTCTTTCCATATTTGCAAAGCAACCTTTAATAAACCAATTTTCTCAGGAAAAAAGTGCTCCTATGGCCAAGTGCTGAGCCTTGCAGAGATGGGTCTGCTTGTTTACCCTGGTGATTTTAACATCACAAAGCAGGAGGGAAAAGAGAAAGCTCTCCATGTAGATGAGGTACTTACAGGTTTGTATACATACAGGTAAAGTGATATCAAGAAGGCATACACAGCTGTAATACCATTGATGAAGCTGACAGCAGTATTTATATCATCACTGTGAGAGTGCATGATGCATGGGTCACGATGTACTTCAAACTATCTGCCCTTCTCCCCAGGTACAAAATGACTGAGGCTGGGTAGCGTGTGAACAATCTGTGTTGCATGCACTGATAGCTGCCTGTTTATAAGAGTCCAGCTGGTTTCAGACTTAAATTGAAAAGAAGAACCTGTATCCCAAGGTTGACTATTGGTTTGTACTTGGAAATCCATCAGATTTCCTTGGGGATTACTATTAAAAAAGGTCATATTTTAACAGTATTTTTAAGCTGGATTTGTCTTGCCATAGCATAACATAATTGTCAGAAACTAAATTCCTCTCTTAGTCCGAGAAACATGTTGACTTCTTGCATGTTCTTGAGCAAGATAAGAGGCCAAACAATGCAAAATAAGATCTCATGAGAAGAATGAATGTCTATTTTTGCATGGAGAGGCTGAAGATGTAGGGGTTCCGGACTGGAGAAGCCCCCACGTTCTCTGCAATTACGTCCCTATAATGCAGGGAATTAACTACATCAGTTCTAAACATGTATCTTTCTGCCTCTAAACCATTACCCTTTTTTTTTCCAGCTTCCTCCTTTTCCTTTCCAGTATCAGAACCCAGGTCTCATCTTGATCTTTCTTTTGACAAGTAAGCAGAACAAGTTTTGGAATCTTATGCCAGTAGGAGCAGTTCTTAATTACTTAGTCATTTTTATAGTTTTTCTATATATTTGTATGAGGTCATTTCCTCATACAAATCTGAAACAGGACTTTACCAAGCTTCAGCCTAATGTTACAGCATCCAGCAGACACTGCAGAAATGTAGACACACATGCATTCTTTCAAACTCTGTTGTAAATTATAGCAGATGGAATACTCACCCATTTGGACATCCTTCAAGACCTGGTCCTTTGCACCTGTAAAAACAAATGAGTGCTACTAACATGTTAGCTCTAGCATACCTACTCCTATAATTCCAACTAAGAAGAGTGCTACTGATGGAAATTTTATGTTTTAGAGCAGTACAAGCACTAACACAGGTATTTATAATAATCACACACTCTAACAAACATCACACAATGGCCCTGCTCCAGAACCTTTTACACAGAGGTATAATTATGCTATGTAACCATTATAAAGAATATTTTAAAAGATCTTTTTATGTGTTAGAGTGGGGAGAGAACACAGATACACAGATTTCAAATGGGCCTGGACTCCCTGCTTCTTTATTTTGAATATATTTCTGTGGTTTCTACATGTGCTGTCCTATCCACCAGCTTCAAAAGAACTGATCAGCTTGCTTAGACTCAGAGGCCACAAAAATAAACAGCCATGGAGACAGCTGTGTGATAGACAGTGTGCTATCAGCAATGCTCTGGTTCTATGTGGTCATTTGTTCTAGCAAAGAAGGGCTCAGGGCTGACTGAAGAGGAATACAAGATGACAGAAAGCTACAAGGAAATGCACAGCTGTAGATCCTTCTGTATTATCCCAGTGTCCTGAGAAGCTAAGGATTCCCATTTCCAGACTTAAAGGAAAACTTCGGTAGCAGATACATGCTTGCATCAGAAAACAGGATTTGACAGCACTCCCTTTGACTACAGTGTCCATGATATTTTTCTTTCAGAATCTCAGATCTTGTGCCACTGGTAATGTAAAAAGGTATGACAGCTATCCAAAGAGCCAGAAACTCTACTAGCAAGTCATTCTCCCTGCATTTGAATTTAAAAGGTCCAAAATTCATTTTGGCAGGCTTCATATAAAAAACAACATGGATGAAAACACAGTGACTGCATTCACATTGTGCTCTAACAGGCTTGAGGGGCACTGTGCATTCCCTAAGTGCTGCTGGGCTACAAGATGTATGCTCTTCATAGGAACTGTGGTCTTTGTGGTGCCTGCTGAGGAAGGAGAGCATTACAGAGGAGATTACATCATCTCTGAAAAACAGAGCACAGCAAGGAGAGAGTTCAGCTTGTGGTATCTGCTCTCTGTGCTGACTTAAGGTCCATCATACCAAAGCAGCTACAGAGGAGGTCATGCATGTGTTAAGAAGTAAACCTGTTCCAGGAAGGGTGCTCTGAGTTCCCTCTTACTGAGAAGAGGAAACAGAAAAAATTCAAAATGGCAGGTGGAGCTGAAGATTTTATTTCATGGAGTGACCTAGGTCTAGGGGGGTAAGGAGGGGAAGCAAGTACTCATTTTATTGTGTTTTTGTTTATTTGTTTGGTTTCATTACTCTGATCTTCCCCCATGTATTTGACTTGTTCAGAGGCCAACACAGTGTTCCAAGACCCAGCATCTGGAAGGTCTTGTGAGTTCACTGGTCTCCCATGCAAGAATGTGCATCCTGGTGTCCTGGACATACTGGAAGTACTGTGCATACTGGTTCCTGGGAGTCCTCTTTGTTAGCATTCCCTGTCTGCCTACAGCTTGTTTTGTTTGCTTAGTTGTGTAACTAAACAAAGCGAGGCTGCACATGCAGAGCAGAATCACCAGCTTGCCTGTGGTCACAGGAGATGTATCTCACTTTCTACGAGGCTTATTTCTTTGGGTACTTAAAAGAAAAGTGATCTAGAATCCAAGATCTCAGCCTATCACACTCTATCAGTCACCTGGATGTGAATTTCTATATGCTAATGTAACAAAGCGTGTGCAACTTCTCCTGTTAGGTATATGAAATAAAAAAACACTCTTGCATTATTCCAGAATGTGACCATAGTCCTCCAAGTTAATTCTTTCTAAAAATTCTGTTTTTCATGCTACTTTATTATAGCAAAGCCTTTATGCACTTCCTAACAGCAAAAAAAATAGTACCTGAAGTCTGAGGAATGACTGACCAGTTATTTTTCTAGGCCAGAACGTGGAGGGAAAAGAGGGGTAAATTTTCATCTGTGCTCTTTTTTTTTAAGGAAAGTATTTCCCACACAAATCCATCAATATTAAGTCTGGTGGGATAAAGTTAAAAGGCGTTTGGGAATAAAATGACAGATCAGCGTATGTTTTTCAAATCCCATATAATTTTCTGATTCATTTCACAAGTCAAAGAAGAAATAAAGACTATGACACGTATCTATCCAATACTAAGTATAACCATCTTTCTTAATGTGGAATTTTATGATGACACCCAAATGAGAAATAAACTGCCTCAAGATCTTATGGCTGTACTGGGTGGAATCTAGCAGCAGTTGTAGTCTCTGAAATATTTCTCTACTTTTTGCAAAATTTGTGCTCTGTACAATCCCTGAAAGTGTTACATCCTGAACTCAGCATTTCCTCTCTCTATGTACATATTCCTTGTCCCGATTCAGACACAGCTATAGATTTCCCAAATCCATCAATATTTGAATGACTTTCTCCTCGACCCACAGATCCTCATTTGATGTAATGCAGACACACTGCTATGATTTATGGCCTTTCAGAGGGGACTGTGTTTTAACAGCCAAAGTTACTTCAAAATCATAAAAGAAATGGAAAACCATTGGGCTTTTCAAAGCCTTACAAGAATTTTCCTCCACCTTTTCTTTGTCATTAACCTTTAGAACATGACAAAGGCATTGAATGTGAACTGTGCAGCTGCAAGCTTCCTTATCAGACCCCACTTTCTCACCCACCCCTAAAACCCCCTCGTATTTAACATAAGGACCAATAAGACACAGCACTGGTGAAGACTCTTGAGGCAGGACTCATCATCTAGTCCTAGTAATTACAGTTGTGCTGTCCCCCTTTCTTCCACTTCACTGAATGTGGCTGATTTTGATTCTCATAATCCATGAGAAAATCAGATCCCTCACCATGGAGCAGAATAATCAAGCTGGTGTGTTTTGTTAGTTGCTGGAGATACAAACTGACTAATTCCAGGGCTTTTGGGTCACTGCTCTCTTTAATGGAGCATATATTCCTAGCTGTAGAAGCAGAGCAGAAGAAAGCTGGTGTACAAAATCCCCAAACAGTCACAAGAGAAACAGGGGAGAAGAACTCTGGGATGTGCTAGGATGTGGAAAGTAAAAGGGGAAGAAAATCACTGTGGTACGCCCACTGGAATTTCCCTCCCAAAAAATCAAAGGTGCCCCAAGAGCTCAGCATCCACCAGATGTCACTGATGCTCCTCCCAAAAACAGAGGACCTTGTGCCCAGCCAGGTGGAAAAAAAAAAGTGCACCACTAGTGCAAAGCTCTGTAAAATACCAGAAAGTAAGCAAACAACCCTGTTTTAAATGACCCAGATCCTTCTGTGTAAAGAAGTGCAACTGAACTTTTCCTATTTACAAAGTCCACTGCACTTTGCTTACATTACCTGTGTATGCCTGACCTCTTTCACTTCCTGCTATTTTTTGTTCCTGGTGTTTTGAAATGGGACCAGTCAGGAAGGGAGAAAGCCTGAAACAAGCTGTTCTTATGCTTCTCACTTCTTCCTCTCCATTCAGAACATGGTTTCACTCACCCTCGTGTACAGTTTGGATGGCAGAGCTGGCAAACAGCATTGGCATCTGCATACTTCCAGACGAGGGTGTCATTCTCACCCAGCACCCCTGCGGGGCAGGTCTTCACACAGTGGGGACCATCTATAAAATGGGCACACTTCACACAGTGGTCTGGGCCCTGCAAAGAAGAAAAGAAACAACTCATCTACGATTTCCTTATGCTCCTCCAGGAAGAAACGCAGAACATAAAATCTGTGCATTCAACTGGAACATCTTCAGCATTTTGTGATTTCATTACCCTGCTACCTGAAATGCTTACGAGTTTTTGCCCTTGTAGGATGGACTGTACAAAGGGCAATACCTGGTGTTTAAAGCTAATTCTTCCTCAAGTTGGGATTGTTGCTGCATAGTTCCTGCTGCCCTTTTTGTCTGCCCTCTGCCTGGTGGAAAAGCTCACATTTTTTGTTTAAAATGGGGAACAATTTAATGAAACCCCATTAAGGGGTAAGTTGAAAAGCAGGCCAAGCTATTTCCTGCTGCAGTCTACCATCACATGATTTAAAATGATGGCTGGCTCTGCTTATCTCTCTCTGAAGTACTGGCCCCAAATCGTTATTTCCCTGATTTCTCTGTGTTGAGAAGCACAGGAAATGGAAACTACCCAAGGATGCCATGCATTTTCTGCTTTGAATGGCATTTCATTTGTGTTTAAAGGCAATGCCTCTGGCCATTTTTGGCAGAGCTGTTTTTACTCAGACTGTGACAGCATCTGGAATGCTGTAAGTATTTTAAATCAGGGAAAACAGTAATTCTGGGTCGAATTCTACAGAAAAAACAAACCCACAAAAAACCCACGCCAGATCCACAATGTTTGTTTCAGTGGAATTACAGTAAGACATGCGATGTGAAGATTACTTTAATTACTGTAATATCTAAGGGCTAATATAATTGACTAATTACTAGATGCTGGGAAATATGGAACAAGGGGTGGCCACCACCTGAAGTAGTTTATAATGTTAATGGCATCCCTTAGGTGGTCTGAACTGGAAGGGAGGATGGAAATAGTTCACATTGCTGAGCAGTCACTCCTGAGACTGATGGGCAAGGATCAAATACAGAGGCTGCAGGAGATGGCAAGAGGTGCTCTGAAGAAGCAAGTGATTTGATTTCAGTTAGTGAGAAAAGCTTATTGAGACAGAGGAAGATTAAGGAGAGATACAGGTTTATCATTAAGACATGAATTTTATCTGATTAAAATTATTTTTCACAGTTGCCAAACTGAACATTTCATAACACATAAGTGTATTCTAAAAATTAAAGAAAAATTATATAAAAAACACTGAGAAAGATTCAGGACTGACTGCAAGACTGCAGCGTTTTGACTTTTGTAAAAGTATTTTGTGTAAGTATGAACATATATCTAACTGTATAAAGTAAGAAAATCCAATCATTTTGTTTTGAGTGCTTTTCTTTTATCATACTTTATGCCTACATTACTTTAACATTGGCTATAAACTTTAGCCTAGTTAGTTAAAAACAGTTTTAAGTAAAAACTGTATCCTGGGTATTTTTCAGTAAGCGCTTTTTAAATCTCAATTTTAACAGGTCTTTTCAAGATGCTGATCCACTATTTTAACAACTCTTTTCCTGCGAGCAAGGAAGTGTAATTTATTCATGCTAACTTGGCTGTTCAGTAATTACACATCCCCAAATTACAATATCTTCACTTATGTTTTCTTTGTGTGTGTTTTTTTCCACAAAGACACAAGAAAGAAAGACCCTACAATGCCTGTGACTATGAGGCTATGTGGATAACACATGTGATGGGGGAAAAACACATCCTAAAGTTCTCTCTCTTGTTTTTTCCCCTCTCCCCCACCTGTGCCTGACTGTGGCAAAGAGTAAATGGGAATTCAAGATCATCCCATTATAACAAACTACAGCCCAAGGTACTGTTTTGCTAAGCCAGGTCTATCCTTACAGGTCCAGTGCAGGTTGCGTTGTATGCAGTGGAGTTCTGTACCAGACACTCTGAGTGGCAGGGGAGGCATTTGGAGTCCCTTTCAAACTCACGTGGCTCCCTGAAATAGAAGAAAAAAGAGAAATAATAAAGCCCCGGCTAATTAGTGAGGATTAAAATTTGTTCGTCTCTCCACCTCCTGTCTTTCCCAGCTTGAATCCATCAGGATGATTGCCCTGATACAAGAGAAGGTGTAGGGACCATCTTGCCTGATGTCAGCACACCAGGGGCACTTTCTCAGCTTACAGAGAGGTAAGGGAAAGGGAAATTTAGATGGCAGTGGAACACATGGCACTCCAGGCCACACACTACAAATGAGTTTATTTTCCATTTTAAGCTCATGACACAGAATGTTCTCAAAGATTTTCAGAAGCTTTTAAATGGTAGCGATGCAAAGAGAACAGCAAAATAATTTCAAGTGTTTCTAAAGCTCCAAATAATAATTAGGAAAGTTAAACAGCAATGCTCTGATAATTAAATTCATGCCCTCCCTACAACACACAGTTAATCACTAAAATATGAAAGTTGGGAGCAGATGGTTTCAATAGCAATAAAGCTGTTCTCCTTCAAGTAATAGAGTTATTAATTAAACTACATCTACACATCACAGGACACAAAAAATGCCCAGATCTGTCCTTCAGATTATAAAAGCTGCTGGAGGGAATTCACTTATGAAAAAGACAGCTGCTGAATGGCAAGTTGATAGACAAATCATCATTGGCATGAGCATCCTCTCAAGTTCTTATTTAGCACTAAAGATTTTAGTAAGAAACAAAGGCAGAAGTATTTACACCAGCAAATTTGTGGATGGCAAAGCATTAGTCTATTGTGCATTTCTGAAGATCAGCATATTTTTTGGTGCTAGCCATGCTTTCCCTGCCTATATCACATGCTGAACTGACTGAAAAAAAAACAGCCACAGCCCTGATACAAAGACACTGGTATGCTTTCCTTGACTTGTGAAGAACTGAAGCAATATTTTGCCTCAAATTACTGCACCCGGTGCTCTGCAGATGGAGCCTATTTTTCCCTTAACTGCAACACTGCACATTGGAGGGCAAGTTACTAATCTGGCTGGTGAGCAAGATCGCCCTGTCCCTTCAGTGACAGCCGCAGAGCACACCAGGTATGCTCTGATCTAACGAAACGTGCTGCAGTTCAGCAAATCCAACACGTTGAGTATAACTAGGAGAGCCTTTGCAGCAAGGAAACCTATGGGGAGTGGCTGTGTTTCTACAACTGCCTCTGTGGTTGATGGTGACAGCTATCTCTGACTCTTGCCTGATGCATTTAACATGACCAGCACAGACTGGAGATTTAAATTCCTTTGTACCATTTGGGAAGGAAAGGCAGCACTTCACCTCCTTGACAGCTTCGCAGCAGGCCGGATGCTCAGGAGCAGTGGGTATGACCAATGCTGAGAACTGGCCTGAATTTTTCCCCATGCCTGAAAAAATCCCCGAATATATATCTTTTTTGCTCAGGCTAACACCTCTGCCAACACACCAAAATCCAAAGACCCTTCGTCTTGCTCACTTTCTAGCCACACGCATTCTAAAACCAAAACCCCCAAGAGCCCGCAGCCCCTTACCCTTGCAGGATGTTGCACTGTTTCACACACTCCTTCTGGCGACTGAAAAACCTGCAGGAAAAGCAGTGGAAAGGCCCTGGGCCCCAGCAGCCCACGTCCGAGCACAGCGGGTCACACACATGCCTGTCAGCAGCTGAGAAAAGAGAAACCATGAACTTCAGGGCAAGAGAAAGGGCAGATACAGCATGGCAAATGACTTCATCCTGACAATCACTTTTTTTCAAACTATTCCAAAGCAGACACGAATGACCTTAGTAGAAGAGGAATAATCACAATTTTCCTAATTCCCAAAACTTGACTTCTGGCCTTTATTTTTGGAGCAAATTCTGGCCTTTTAAAATTAAAATGAGATCCACTGTGACCATGTACCAGACCTATAGTATAGCAAAACCAGTACCAGAGGAGACACTTTTCTGATGTGTAGCAAATTCACATTCTGGTTAAAAGAAATAAATAGATTTTGGCCCAGGAACCACTGCTGAGTGACTAACTTTATCAAACAAGCCTGATGTCTACAGCTGGCTTCTCTGTCCCTCACTGTGTCCGTAACAGGATGTATGATCATCATGAAGCCCACATCCCCTGTGGGACCAACTCCCTTTTCTCCTCACTGTCTTCTATAAAGCAGCATCTCTGATGAATTTTGCATTAATTGCTCTTCCAATTCATCAAGAGCATTTGCGAGGGCAGGAAAGCAGATTGACTTACTACAGTCATTTTTATTTCTGTTCTGTATTATTTTTGTTTTCTGACTCTGAGTAGCAAACAAGCTGCGCCAGTTCATGGTGTCAGCATAGCAGAGGTTCTTGTTCTTCATAATGGCAATGTCTCCATCACTTATTTCCTTGAGGGAGCGCAGCCCCAAGGACTGTATTTTCAAGTTAACAACAGCAAGGGAATACTGGCCACTGAAATGGACAAAAAGAAGACACATAAAAAAGAGAATTAGTAAGCAGGGTTGTACTTGGAGAAATAATCTTTTGGTATGTATTGCTGTGTAATCAATTTTTTCTAATGGGAATTTTAAACTAAATCTGGCAGGACACATGCACTCCATCAAATGAATGATGGGTAAGGATAGCAGTAGGCAGAGAAGCTATTTTGTGCTGGTCCAAAGCCACTCTTCCTCTCAGGGCAAACTCAAATAGGTGCTGCGTGCAGGCTCTAACAACAGTACAGAGTTGCACATTTGATGTTACTCTACTGCTACCAAAATGGTGCTCAGCATCTTTCAGGCTATTTCCTGTTTTGCATGAGTTTTGTGACACCCGTATATCCCGGTGCTAGGCACCCTGGTATGTTCAGAGAAATGCAGCTCCCAGCAGAGCTCCTTTTACAGGCATCCTGGCACATCATTTACTTACTGCTGCTTGGTTCGGCCTCGGATAATCTCCAGATTTTCAAAAGCATAGAGATCAGTAGCATTATCAGGCCAGGCCTGAATCAACAGAAATCCTGAAATAAAGAAAAGAAGATTTAAAAAAAATAATAATAATGCAAACACAGTCAGTACTTGGAGGTGAAATGTCCTTCTTGAGATTCTCTTCAGCCAGAAGGCACTTGTGCTTTCCATGTGCTTTTCTGAGAATCTCAAAATTAAACATGACATGCTAGGGATATTTGTAAACACTGCTTTGTAAACTCTTCTACTGTTTACTCTTTAGTCCACCATAACGCTCAGGAACATCAGAGAACAGTGTGTCAGGGGCTGTGCATCTGACACACTGAGCTGCCAATGATGGCTCTTGATACAAGAGTACCTTGCTTGAGGGGCTGTGGGCTTCCTGCAGCATGAGGAGGCATTGTCCCCTTTGTGAGCTGCCCTTCAGTAGGAGAAAAAGTAGGCACAGAACAGCCAGCAGCTCACAGTACATTTGTTATGACAAGCAAATTTCTCTGCTCGGGTATGGTACTCTGGAGAAGGGAAAGAATTTGGGAAATTGCACAAAGAAGTATGAAACTCTGAAGTTAGTCACTGCTACCCTGAAGGCAAAAAGACAGGTAAAAGAGATAAAGAGAAGTGGACCTGGAGTCATATCCACGGGCTCTGACATTACATTTGTTTTATAACTGGATGAACAAAATTACTTTCAAGTTGATGCCTGAGCAAGATCGCAGTCAAGCACTCTCATACTTTGTGGCTCTTGGCCACTTTGTGCTCATTTCCAGGCAGGGCTCTTTGGGCTGGAGAGAGTATCTCCATGTGTCTCCATGAGGATGATGCAAGAGACTGAGCATGGTTCCCTACGGAGCTGCAGAAAGGTTTTCCACAAATAGAAACACTTGGCTATTTTCAGATAGAGTGGCATGCCCCTGAATCACCACACACTTCTTGAGTAGCTGAGAATTGCTTCTACTTTTAGTCCTCGGTGGGGCTGACAATTCAGCAGGAGGGATGATCTGGAAAAACCAGAAACATCCAAGGAAATCCCTGGATGGGAGGCAGGGTGGGTACAATACTGGCAAGATGCTGCTGACCTCCAGTGTGAGCAGTGACCCTGCAAGCTCAGGAACAGAAACCATTTGCCTGCTCTTCTGCTCACAAACTTTGAGAACTTTCTTCTTCTTGCTTTAGGTTTTTGGCAGTACCACTCAGATAATATCTCATGCTTAACCCATGTCACTGACCTGATATTTCTTTGACTGTTCTGAAGACATCCAGCTTCTTAGGGTCAAGGGGTAGTGTCTTTGTGAAGGCATCCCTGAAACAAACAGAAGGAGGTGTTGGGAGAAGAATGAATCAGCCTGAATTTCTCCCTACTCCCTCTCTTCCAGTCCTCAGTGACCAGCAGGCAACTCACCCCAGAAATGCAACAGGAAGAATGCTGACATCCCCGTTGATCTTTGTACAGTTTTTGAAGGAGTCGATGTTTGTGGCGTTTATGGATAGGATCCCTTTAAGTTCACCTATTCCAATGCCATTGCACACTGTTAAAATAGGGACACAAAAGTTTGGCAGTGAGAAGCATCATCACATGTAAGGAAACACATACTAAAATACTGCTGTTCAAAAAGCTTGGTCAATTCTACCACTGTAAGATCAGTGTCACAAATCTTTTGCCTATTGTTGCTTTTCAGAAATCACAAAAGGAAAAACACTTCTCTTTTGCACACCTGTACAGCCCTGGTCTTTGCATCTCCACACACACATTCTGATACATGCCCTTCTCTTTGTCCCATTTTCATTTTATTCCTGTTGATGAGAACTGAGAAGGCTACATAAAGGATGCTGATGTGTAGGATACACATTAAGTGCAGTTTGTCTGTGTAAGCACATTTGCAGCATATCCCAGCTGAAGCATGCTCTGCTGCCATGCTTCCTGAGAAAACAGCCTGTCAAAACTTCAAACTAGCAGTGGATGTGTGTATTGAATTTGCACTTCGAGGGCTCAATTCAGTTCAGAACTCCATCTATTTATTCTAATAAATCATCTATCATCTCAAAGCTTTACTGTTTCACACCATGCTTTTTATACCTTTGCTGCACAGCCCATCACATTTTTTACACTTCCGAACGCCGTTTTCTTCCACTTCGTAGGTATCAGTATTGCATGAGCGAACACAGGAGCCATGATCTGTCACCACATAGTTGTCTGGAAAAACAAGGATGACAGAGAACACTGAAAAACAAGAGACATGTACCGGAGGCGATACAGGTACTTCAATACTAGGAAAAATAAGGTTTTTTGACCTTTGGCCATGCGTGAAACACAAACATTAATTATTAATTTCCACATCCTTTGAAGATAGACAGACAAAGAGTGCTATTACCATTTTGTAACAGAGGAGAATGGTCACAGAAGAGTGAAACAACATTGCAAAAGACAGATTCCAAGCACTGTTGTTATTTGAATCAATACACAGCCCTTTTGAACCCTCACTTTCACACATCCTTCCAGGCTAAGGGCAACGATGAACCTCAGAAAAGGATACCAGGTTTATATGCTGAACTCTCTCTTACACTTAAGTCTTATTTGTCTAAAAGACCATGGTCATGGAAAACCTTGAAAGAAAGAAAGCATCTGTAAAGGAAGCAATGATCACAGGAGTTCTCAAAGAGTGTTTAAACCAATGACTTTCCATCTGTACTAAATAAGAACCAGTTAAGAGTTGGTACTGTGTCAGTAATACACAGGATTGTTCCCATATGTCTTCTCTGGCCATTGAGTTGATGATTCTATTAAGACGCTTTTCTCTCCATTAAGAAAAAATCCAGAAGTCAAAATTTAGCTGCTAATAATCAGAGAAGTTGACGGATTCAGAAAGATTAAAAAAGGCTGATTGTCTTCATAAGCCATTCTCTGACTCTTGTCACTTGTTCTCAGTTCCCAGAGGAAATGAAGAGAATAGGAATGTGCTGGGCTGTAATGCAGAGGGTGACAAAGGTCCTTCTCTTCGGCTGCAAGCTGAAATGAACTTACGTGGACATTCCCTCACACAAGTGGCTCCAAAGCTGTATTTTCCCTCGGGGTTGACATCCATTTGGTAGGTGGTGGGGTTATAGAGGACCAGTGGGGGACACGTGTCCTTGCAGGTAGCATCATCCCGAAACTTGCGGCATGCCTGTCAAACAACAGCACCCATTAAAACGTTACAAGGTCTTTACATTAGCTGTTTAAAAACACTTCTGTGAGCTGTGCTGCTTCTCACCTAGCTCTAATGGGAATCCTGAGCATCTCCAGGGCTGGTCCCTAGTGCTTAGGATGTGAAAGGTTACTTCAGGTAGGGCAATTTAGTATGACATTTGAAAAAAAAAAAAAAGAGCAAATGTAAGGTTTTCTTGTTCTGAACAAGAAAACTTGGCACTCTGGAGAAGAACTGCTGGGATTCACATGGGAACATGGGCGAATCTGCATGCCTTAGATGAAATTTTCCCTACAAGCCGTAACCAGATCAAGACAAACAGTACTTTTCTTGGCCAGCCACTTTTTAATAACCTCAATCAAATCAAGTTCTTTCCTGCCAATTACTGACTTTTGTGGCTGAATATTAAAAGGAAGCCATTCTATTTGGCTGCCGGTAATGAACAACCTAGAAGCTCTTTATGAAGAATAAGTTGGTTCTTCCAACCCAATCCAGCATTAAATTAATAATCAGTCCCTTTTCCCCTTTATTTGTCCCTGGTTTTCCAGATGAGACAGAATAACTCTTCCTTGCAAGCCAGTAAGATCATCCTAGCTATGCAATTTCTTAGGGTGGCCAGAATACAGATAACAGCAACAAGACACAGACTGGACAGTTTCTGTGGGAATTACATAAGCATCACTTAATTCAGAATTAAATTTAGTGCAAAGCCAGGGACAAGTTAAAAGCACAGCATGTATTAACCCCTGAAAACTCTTGTAGACAGACAATAACATTTTTTATTCCTAAAAAAGTTGGATTTGCCCTTTTCCCATCCACAGCACCAGGGACCCCAAAGTTTGTAGCAACTGAGAATCAGGCAGGGAAACTTTGTTACTGAAGACCAGTGTTGAAAGGTTTGTGTCCTCTTCCCTGCCTGTTTCAGAGATGGCTTGCTCCCACTCCAAATGGCATCCTATGGGTCAGTATATCTCAGAAGCTTCCTCAGATGGAAGAAGGTTGCAAGACATTCAGCTGCCTGCCTGCTCCTCTGTTTAGGGATTTAAGCACTGATGAAGCTGTAGCATCCTTACCAGGCAGTCGCTCTCCCGAGGTCCCGTGCACCCTGCAGCACACTGGTTGTGGCAGCAGTCACTGGGCACCTTTCCTCTGCACCGCCCAGAGCATTGCTGGGCACAGATGACTTTTGTTACTGAAAGAAAAAAAAAAGAAAGAAAAGAAAGAAAAAGAACAGAAATGAGGAACGTTTAGGCTGCAATGAGATCAATAAATGCAGAACAACCATCCGATGCAGTATCTGTGCTAGTTCCCCCATGTTCTGCCCACAAATCAGGCAAAAGCTAGGAAGGGTGAGAGCTGGTGTGGGTGGTGGCAAAAAGAGGATGTATACAGCTCTTGTGGGGTGCAAAGCACTCTGTTCCAGATCAGCAAATCATATCCTGCTTAGAAAGAGCATCCAGGCCGCTTTGGCATCGCTGTCTGAATCGAGAATAATTCCACGGAGTCAGGCAACTTTCAGCTTGGCTCTGCTTTATTGAGGTAACCTGCTACTACTGGTGGTAGCTTTGGGAAAAACAACATGACAGGAGAACTGCCAGAACTCTGGGCAATAGTGGGAAATTATGTATCATTGGTGCGGTCTTAGGATTCCTTTGATGACTAAAAATATTTCTGAAATTTGGAGAGAGAGGGGACATCCACTCAGTAAACTGATCTCATATGAATACAATATTATTTTCTTTAAGCTTCAATTCCTTGGCCAAATTTTATCTTCATTACTCAACTTCCTCAGGGTTTGTACCAATGTAACCCGAAGGAAAAGCTAATCCTGGGTCAGCTTTTAACAAGAGAGGAAAAGCTGCCTGCAATAATTTTTTAGATCCAGATATAATCTCAATTTGAATATCAAAGCAGATAGAATAGTAATCATAAAAATAATTTTAAAAAGCACAACACCACGAAATGCAGAAATTAATGGATAGTGTATGTCAGTACCACGGGCCAAAAGTGGTCTGCTTTTTCTCCACAATAAAATCACTGATCAGCACTCAGGCAATAGGGGACTGAGTCCCCAATAGAGAAAGTGGGGGATTGCTATTGTGCTTCACTACAGCACCCTGAGCACCTGTACAGTGCAGTACTGCTACCAGCTTCCCTCCCGGGCAGAAATTAGTTACAACACCACCAGGAAATCCTGTAACTCAGAAATGGTTGTTAACTAACAGAGAGTTATCAGAAAATACAACCTGATACAGGTACACAACCATCACTGGCTTTTTTTTTCCTAAACCACGCTATATTTTTCCATTATCCATTTTTCTTGTATCTTGTAAGCAACATATTGTCTTTTCAAGGAAACACATGATTTGCACAATACATATTAGCTTCTCTGGCAGCAACTCCTCTGTTCAAGCAGAAACAGGGGAAAAAAAAGGTACGTTGTTCAACATGGACAGCATTTTGATACAACTTTTTCATAAGCATCAGCATAGGAGTAAAACAGCTCATCACTTTGATAGCTATTGACTGAAGCTTCCTGCTGGAAACATGTATCATGGCAAACATTTATATTTCGTACAGAACATCCCACATTCATCTAAGGGGAAAGACACATAGCAGACCAAACTTCCCCACATATGAAAATGTGGGATACATTTTCAGCTGCTCAGATTCTCAAATGCTTCAAGAGTAGAGCCAAAGCTTGCAAATGGTTTCATTTTATGTACTCCACATAACCCTCCTGAAGCCAGCAAGTGTTTGCAAATGCTGGAAGTCTGCAGGATTGAGATATGATCTTTTGCAAGCCCCTGGAACAGCTATTCTGTCTTAGTGGTGGGGAGCACTGTCCTTGAAAGCAACTTGGTGAGCTCAGCAATGGCACAAGAAAAAAAACCAAGCTTGCAGCCAAATAAGAGAGAAAGGCTCTACATTTATTTTTCTGTCAGCTGTAGAAGCTGTACATACTTGTTCTGACACTTAGAAGCATGAAACTTAGGTTTAAGACATTATTTACAATGGAAAATGTTGCATTCGTTTGTGTAAGTATAGCAAACTTTCCATTGAGCTTTACATGGTTATGCAAAACTGACAAGCAAGAGAAATTAGAAACTGTCTTTTTCCCCAATTATTATAGAAAAAGAAAATAATGAAGTATAAAGAAAACTTTCCTCCTCAATCTTTACCTTAGGAGAAATAAAGTCTTGCAAAATCTCAAGCAACTCTGATTGCATGTTACTCTTGTAATTTCAGGAAAATAGGCTACCTTCAAAAATTTGAAGTAAAGCATATGCAACAAAACTGAACAGGCTCACAATCGCAAATATATAAATGTACAAACTAAGAAATAACTGAGTTTTCAAAAGGTGTTCTGAGTACAATACGTAGTGCTATTGCCCATATGATGGTGACATTGCTTGTGTCTACAAACAAACTTGTTTGTGTTCAAAGTGGAGCTGGATACTCTTTGAGCTCTTTGAGCAACATGACTGGATTTAAGTAAGTTGTCCCTGCCCAGGGCAGAGGGTTTTGACCAGATGACCTTGGATGGTCTCTTCAATCCAAATCATTCTGTGATTCAATGATCCTCATGACTGAGTTTTTTTTCAGAGCAGGAAGGCCATATGTGCACATGTGTGATATAGACTTGTTTCAGACCCATTGCCACTTATCATGCCTACTAAGACTGTGAGGAGAAGCAAGCCATGTGTTGTGCTTCAAGGAGCATGAGCATAGGAGGACAAAGAAAGGACAAGTGTAAAACACATGCTGCTCAATTTGCAGGTAAATTATTCAGTAGGCAGAAGATTACTATGTCAGATTGTAGCATTCAGATAATTCCTAATTAATCTGTACACTTACAAGTCTGGCAGTTCTGTTCACCAGCACCCCAGCAGTGGTCTTCTGTGCAGTTCGGATGGCACTTAGGACCTAAAACATAAGATTGGAGTATTATAAAAAACCCTGTTTAAAATCTGGGTGACAACACCATATGTGTCACAGGAAACAAAACCTTGAGCCTTCACATTCTATGTTCAGAAATTTTGAGTGCTGGAACTAAAATCCTTATCTGTTGTTCATAGTTGGTTTCCTTTGTGCAGTACTACAAGACTCCTCATAGCAAGCAAGTGCAATACCCTGCTGATCCGGCAAGACAAAAGATGAGTATTTTTCCCAGGTACAGGAATTTCAGCAACTGCCCTTCTGGCTCTCAGGCTTGGATTTGCATAAAGCTGCAAGTCACTACTGGCTTGCATTCGGGCATGAGACAGATGCTTGCTGCAGGCCATGTGGAAATGAATGTTTCTGAACAACATGTTTCTAAGAAGAAAACAAAACCAACTGGATTCACAGGTAACTGCCAGCTATTCCTGCCACAAAACAATTTGACTTGTCTGAACTACGCTCTCCTCCTGCTCTCAACCAAAAACATCCCTCAGCATAGGTCTGTGCTGTCACTGGAGAGGCATCGGTACAGATATACACCTTCAATGTTCAGCACTGGGTTCTTGTTGCTAAGCATCCCTTTCTTATCTGCTTTCCTCCCTCTTCCTGCTGTGTGTACTCTTTCTTTTTTTTTTTCCTTTTTTTTTTTCCCTTTCAGTGTCAAGCAGTGTCCCAAAGGAATAACATATTTTAGATTACAGGATCACTATCACCATCGACCATAAGTGGCTTTCTATGCAGACTAATCTGGAATTTACTACACCGAAGAGACACGTCATATTAGAGTAATTCCTCCTGCTAGTGGCACGTGATCCTCCCCCCGTTCACTGCTGATCACATAGCTGAACAAATGTCAGTACTTGTCCAGGAGTCGACTGATTTGCTCTGGGACTGAAGAACTATGTTTTTTTTCCAAAGTTAAAAAGTTAAAGGTTAACTTTCCATGATATTCAGAGCCAGGATCCTGTGCTGACTTGCACTGTTTGCAGCAATGCTAGGTTACATTTGGGCTCTGCAGCAAATATGTCAACACAGAAGTTGTCGATTACACAACTAGAAGATAAAGAAAATATGTTTCCCGCCAGTTTACAGTGCCAGAAATGAAATGCTCAGAAGTGAAAATAAACTCCTTTCCTTGAAGCAACAGGGGATTTCACAAGAACTCACAAGGCTCAAGGATCCAGGCTCTTCTCAGTGACATCCAATGACAGGACAAGGGGCAATGGGTGCAAGTTGGAACTCAGGAACACATAAATATGAAAAAAAACTTCTTTACAGTGAGGGTGACAGAACACTGGAATAGGCTGCCCAGAGAGGGTGTGGGGCCTCCTTTCCTCCTTTTCTGGAGACATTCAAAACCCTCCTGGCCTCGTTCCTGTGCGATCTGATCTAGGTGTTCCTAATTTGGCAGGGGGATTGGACATGATATCTTGCAAGATCTCTTCCAATCCCTGATATTATGTGATTCTGTGATTAGCGTGAGCCTACCTTAGGCATATCCTACACAAACTTTTAAACACATGCGTATCTTCTTGCTCAGATTTATTTACCTCTTATAATGACATTTTCAAGGATTTTTTCATGCATCACAAAACATAGGAGTTTTTTTACAGCACTCTTGATAGAAAATTGTGCCTTATTGCAAAAATGTGAAGGTGCCTGTATAGCTGCTTTAAATTTAAAGACTCCTGGAAAACATGCAAGTGCATGTTATTCTCAGTTGTGTGGCTATCTTTGAAAAAAAGCATTCATAAGGTACTGCGTGGAATCAATAAAAATTTCTTTGAGCTATGAGTTAAGGACCTAGACATGACAAAACATTGAATCTCATGTCAGTGATGAAGAACTGAATGGATTTCCCTCAGAACTGGATTTGATGGCTCTGTGTATAAGAACTGGTGGATATGAAATCCAAAGCTGAGAGTTTGGTTGCTGGCTCTTCTCTCTGAAATGAGGAAGCTCATAGCATTTTGGTAAATTAATACTTACAAGAAGAAAGATTGCTTGCAAAGTCAAGTACTGTGAGAGGCTTCCTGCTTGTATCGATGATGTCATTCCACAGAACAGTGTCCATGTTGCACAGTTTGGGATTGTTGCTGATTTTAACACCTCCATTGAGAATTTCTGCCATGAAGAAAAAACACTAATGAGTGAAGCACCTTTCTTAAGTTTTCTCCCTCTCTCTGTGATTTAAAGAAAGGGAAACAAAAATCAGATTTCTTCATTTCACTCACACTATGCTGACAACCTGCACAGCACAGGCACACTTGAAGTGCAACCAACTCCAGGCTCAGACTGACAGGTTCTGGAGGGGTACCTGCTGTTGGATGCCACTGAGAAGCCACTACATATAGCTTTTCACACAGTGACACGTCCAGAGGCCACTGACTTTGGCAGACATAGCAGAAGGTAATGTGTTTTCACCTGCTTCAGCTCATGATTGAGTCTCCTCATGCAAACAATTCTTTTCAGTGTGTGCTGCTACAAAGTCTGTAATAAATCGGTATGGCAGAAGACTGAGCATATCGCCTGTTCTGCCATCCGCTACAGTGCCTCCACTGCAGTGGTTGTGATCGCTGATAGAGAGTGAATTAGGCATCTGCTAGCACTGATGGTTTGCACAGCCTGACCCATCAGCCAGAGACTGTATGAGACCCCAACTCTGCAGCTCTTCACATACCACCAGCTCCCACTGGAAATTAACAGAAAATAGTAAATTACACTAGAATTAAAAAAAAATAAGAAGTGATGATTCTTTTCCATTTTGGGGATACAAATAAATTTCAGCATCCTATTGATGCTTTGGACTTCGTGTCCTTTTGTAATGGCAAATTATGAACTTTCTTCATGTTCTGAAAAAGGCTGTACAGCTGGAAAGCGAATAGAAAAATGGAAAACTGCACCCAGTTTTTTAAGCATTGACTTTGAGAGTAAATCTTCAATTTGGTCTTGATATCAATAATTTAATGGTCTAAGTTTACTTACGGGTGCCTCCACCTTTTGCCCTGGTCTTACCTGATAGCCGTTTCATCGGCAGCTCTCGAAGTCCCTGGGTTTTATTCATGTGGTAATTGGATAAAACTGCCAGGGCGAAAGAGTTGTCGTAAAGCACATTCCCTCGGATAATCTGGAGGTTTTCTAAGGGAATAACGTCCACCATGTTAAGTGCAATGAGCACATAGCCTGCAACCTCCTGTATGGTCTGAGAGAAGAAACAAGACACTTAATCCACAGCATTTATAAACCATCTTTCATTCTCTTGACAAGGTTACTTTCCTTCTCCCACTCCCCCAATGCAATCTTTGAATTTTAATGAACAAAAAAACAGTCTCAGAAGAACTAAGTAAATTGGAGAACAAGAAGGGACTACATGAAAAACGAAGCTGAAGAAATGCATCTTCATGTTTGTATTTTGTGCTTGATTAACTGTGCTAAGCAGGTATAAAATGACCCTAAAAGTAGCTAACAGCTGGTCACTACCTGTATCTTGTTCCCAAGCAAGTAGGCATACTCAGAGGATGCAGGAGAAGAGGGCAAGCACATATGATATGCTAACTGTGTATGATGCTTTCTCTGAATATTTACCTTCAACCATTTGCAGCACAGACGCTTCACCTGATTAAGTCTTATACTTTATCTTCTATGCCTCTTCCCTAACCAGCACTCTAATGCTCAACAGAGGGGAGGATCATGCAATCACCTCTCAAGCGATAGACGTTTACAGGACAACAAGACAACTGAAACGCTGACCATGGATGTAGGTTAATTCCTGTCTTGTACTGTGAATTTCTATCTTCTAAAAAAAATCCCTGCAAATGAAAAAGCCCTCAGGCTACTTAGGATATTCTTCTCTTCTATGAAGTCTATTAGTGAATTTTCAGAAGACTTGTTATGTTCCTGGAGACACTGATCTTCATGGCCAAGCAGTGCTTGGAAAGAAAAATGGCAATACCATCATATTTATGACCTGTATGTCTGAAACAACTATTTTCTGATGTTCATGCTTGCTATTGCAGTGTTTTTCCCTTTCTTTGTTCTGTGAGGAGGAAAGCTCATGAAAATTTCTCTAAACTCAGATGACTGACCTGCTTATTCAGATCCACCATAGAAGAGTTCTTGGTACCAGACACACATTTTTCATGTAAAACATGCATTTTCTCCTTCTGCCTTGTTCTTTGTAAACCTCCTAATCTGACATACCAGGGATGCCAAAAGCAAAGCATTTAAAACTTCTTTAAAAACATAAACCCTAATGTGCAGTGCTGCTGCCATTAGTGCATTCTGACAGGGGGGAGCAGAACTGTACCCTTTACCCAGTGTCTATTGGTGGGGAACCTGGAGGTGCCAATGACAGACTTCTCCTCCTCATGCTCTGGCGGCATTTTAACATCCATCCTGTCTGTTCTCTTCCCAGTTGGCTGTGGTAGCTCATGCAGTTGTGCACAGAACAAATGTTGTGATGGGAATAGTCTGTGTGTTAAGTGCAGAGGATTACCTTGAAGGTCACAAAAAGCACACAGCTGGTGCAGAATGCAGCTGCCTGCTTCCTTGGGACACAGGTGCTGATAGATGGTGAGGCACTCACCATCACGTGTGGAAATGGATCACAGACTGCAGAGAAGGGTAACAGCCTCCACACATCAAAGCCTGCGATCAGTGTTTGCCACTCACTTTGCCATTTGTTTTGCCCTATCATATAACAAAGACTTTTGCCCTCTCAGAGGGAGACAAAGGGTAAGCATGTGATAATTTTTGAAAATTACAAACCCATCTGCAACCAAAAATAGGCAACCAAAATAGGTCAGGTCCACACTTGAGAAGCTATTTCTCAAAGTAAATGATTTTGTGTAATTGGGCTGAGCATAACCTGCAGCCTACAGACATGTTGTGACTGTGATTTGCAATATCTCTGACAATTACTGTTCTTGGATCACTACAGCATTTTATAGATAGATAGATGATCCTTTGCACTCAGAAATGCAGTAAGATTCCTTTACCGAAATAAGCCATGTTGGCCGAAACCACTAACCTTAAGGAAGGAGAGATCACGGTTATGCTCCACGTAGGTAATCTCCAGGTTACTCAGTACCACTTCGCAGTTGTTGTACATTCTCTGCAGGCTGGTGAAATGGTCTTCCACGTGCCCCAGCTGGGTCAACTTGTTATTTGTCCCTTGACATACTGTGGAAGAAAGAAGAAAGCTTCATGAAGGAAATCAAGATCAGCTACGGAGAGTTGAACAACTCCAAAACGTGTTGCCCATCCAGTTTTTACAAGAATCACCGTAACTGAAGCATCAGCACAGTGAGAAACACAGATGTGTCTAATGTGCATGAACCTAATGGCAACAGCACTGGGAGCATACAATATTTCCTAGGCAAACAGATGCATCAGCATTATAAACAGGCAAGCCCCAGAAACTCTGCACTCATCCATCAAACATTAAAACGTCTTTATGTTATTGCAATATGGAGGAAGGGAGAGTAATACATAAATAAATCCTATAGAAGACTTCAAAACACCTTTCAGGTAGAAAACTTCAACCCAACTTGGCTCTTGGGTGGAATCAAAAGGAGGCCTTCATCTCATCATTATTATAATGTATGTCAGGCCTGATCTCAAGAAATTATGCCTTCACAGAGCCATAATTTTGAGAAACACCAGTTACAAACTGCAACACCATTGTATGGGGTGCCATAAGGCAAATAACAAATATACTTGACAGAGCTGGATACAAGTTTCAGAGGGAAGACACCTGTTGAAGATTTACCAAACAATTGATGTTTCACTAGTAGGAAAAATAACTTAATAATCAATGATAAAAAAACATACTTATCTACTGCCAAAACCATTCATTGAACACATCTTACTTCTCAGTACAGTCATCACCATTAAGGAGCTACAGTGACGAACTACAGACGAAATACTCTTCATCTGTGTTTGAAACAGGTCATTCACTTACATTCTTCAGTTATTTCTCATTATACATCTACATAAGCATTATTGTATTTGTGATCAGAGTAGCAGCTGCACGTGGGAGCAGCTTAACACGGACTGCGATTACACCACCTACAAGAGCATCAAGTGTAGAAAATGACCCTGTTTATATTTGCCTCAAATTTCTGTAATGGATGAGAATTTCCTAGGCAGGATTTTCTGCTCCAGTTTCAAAGTTAAGTGTTTAAATGTGTTCATGTTTAAAATCTGCATCTGAGTTCTTTTGCATATGGGGATCACAGATTATTAGACAGAGACACAGGACAGGTCTTATTCTGTGACATGATCATATTTCGAGTGTATAAAGTTAGAAAAATTTTCACATATTGGTCTGCACTGGAAAATGCACTGCTGTTGGGGATGCGAGTAAAGAGGCCTTGCACTGTTTGGAAAAGTAGGAGTCCTACCGACTTCTTCTGGAATTTTAAGCAATGTTATTGTCCAGCTTTTGCCCAGGGATTAGGGAAGAACACAAAACTATGCAGAAGGTGCAGTTTTTACACAGTTTTTACAGCTTGAATTTAAAGACAGGTGGAAAGAGCAGCCCTCTATGGCCTTGTCTTCCAGGCCCATGCCTACCATCTACCAACTAGGCAGCTGTGGAACCAGAGACAACCAGGTCACCAAAACGAGCCCTAGGGAAACAGTTTGCCTGCAGATCTATTGACTTGAGATCACAGAAGAGCCAGAACTCTGAAGTTGGCTCAGTTGACCCAAAAAGCACAGCCTTTTTCACTGCTTTCTAGCTCTGACACAGCAGGCTGAGGGCATGGTTCCTCACGCACTTCTCCCTCTCTCATGGGATCGCTCAATGAATCGTGCCAAAGAGTTGATCCAAACCCCTAATAGTGCAGAACAATAAATAAGTAAATGAAATGAAGGCTTTTTTAGCTCAAGAAAGCTTGTCAATTTGGGTCACCGTGGTGTTCCATGTACTTCTGTATTGCAAACAGCTCTTACAAGGAGAGGGAGAGGGCAGGAGTACATAGTCAGCAGAAGGACCTTGCCAGTCTGTGAGGTCATGAAAGGAAAAGTAGACATAACAAGCTCTAAAGAGGCTTCAGGTTGGTCCACCAGGACTTGCTATCTTCCCCTGTCCTATGGGGACAGACAATTTTGATGGCTTCCTACCAAACATGTTTTAAACCATATGCAAAATACGTCCCCTCCATCAGGCGCATCATGTCCTCTATGCAGTAAACAGAAGATAAAGGACAAACGTTTGTTAAGATCTGGGCAGCAAAAGTAAATAGTTTGCTTCTGTTAAGATTTCAACAGTATATGGCCAGCAGCATTCTGATCACCCCATAGCAGCTCCCCTCATAATTTTTTGTTTGCTCAAATACATATGGGGCCAAACACTTATTTGCCATAAAAAGATCTAAGTGCATAAAAAAAGTTAACTTAGTTACAGTAATACCAACCAGATGAGCACTAGGGTCATAAGTAGTATATGCTGAGAAAGTTGAATCAAACAGAAGAACATAAATCCATGGAGCAATGTTACTGAACTCAGGCTAATCTGCTGCCCAATTTCCCAAATAAAAGGTTTCGAAAGAAAAGAGAATGACTTGCTTAATAATAATACTACCTATAATAATACTATCCTGCAATTTCTCTTCTTATGGAAACCATGCTCTGAAAAGATACATGCTATAATTATCTGCATATAATACATGCATGAACACTATTCTGGCCAGAGGGGAAAAGAAAAAAAAAACAAGACAAATTACAGATCAGAATCTTCAGAAATAGGCAATGCAGACTGAGACTGCACGTATCAGGTGAACATAGCAGGTCATTTCTTCTAGCCTATGCTGAGCATCTGCACGGGTCAGCAGGCAATAGAGGCAGTCCAGCACAGTGTTGTACTGGCTGCCTCAGCAGAGGTCAAAGGGGGGCACGTATGCATGAATGGATGGAGGAATTATGATTTAACATCTGTTCAGATTGATCTATTTGCCCTCCAGAGATTTTGATGCCAGCAACATTTATTATATACTTTTGTTTCAGTGAGTAACAGAGCAAACTATCCAGTGTAAGGAGAGGAGGGAATGGATCCTTCCACAGTACTGCTGAGTAGTGTGGTAGCATACTCTAAACAGTAAATCCCCAATGAGGACATTACGTGTGTCTCCAGCACATTTTAGATAAAAGTGAGAATGAAGAAAAAACTGAGCAGTTTTCTGATAGCAATTCAGGGTGAGATTGTTCCCAGGCAGAAGGAAAGCTGAGATCCAGATCTGAAAAGTGGGCTGATCAGTAAAAGAGGGAAGTTTTGCTCTGAGATGCTGTGTTACTGTAACAAAAATGCAGCCAGTGTGGAAATGTTGTTCCAGGGCAACAATGTGGGACACCAGAGAGCAACTTCTTTTCTATGGGATGTTATTCTTAGCAAATGTACTGGGTTTCCTAAATGTCAGTGTAGAGTCAGTGTTGAGTAATTTACAGCATTACCTCCACAAATGGCCTAAAAGTAATGCCTGCTCCCTACTGTACCTCAAACTGAGCTGCAAAGTAGAATTTCTAGGTGATGCAACCTCTGCAACCCTCTGATTCTTCATCTTCTAGGACTATTGGAAAGGTCATTGGTTTCTGCTGAGTCTATTGCTGTGCAAACAACTAGGGTAAAACAAAAGCATTTCCTAAACTACATTTTTCCACTGGCAATTTTAGGGGCACAGAATGCACCCAACCCTCTGCAATGCCAAGTGATTATATCCTCCCAAATTCATTCAATCTCAAATTAAATAAGCTGGTCCCTACAGTGATCGTACTGATACAAGAGAAGTCTGTTTTCTACTTCTCAGAAAATCTCTGATTACTGAAGCACCAATCCTGTCATGCATATTTGTCCCACACTTGATGAAACCCTGGAGAATGCTCTGAACCCAAATTATTACCAATCCCCAAATCATCAGTTGTTTCTGTTTGTGTTTTGACTGATATACCCTCTTGCTGCTCTGACACACACACTGAAACAATAACTCAATAAGGCAATTTCAGAGACATGCAAGTCCATTTCCATGCTTCGTACACCACTGATAGCTCTACTCCACATGGCATAATAAACATATATGTTTTTTCTGCATCTTTTCCAGCCACTAATGATAATGCAAAACCTGCAGAAAAGAGATTTTTTTGCTTAATCTGCCAGAATATTTCTAATAAGTCCCTTCTTCTCACTCACTTGCAAGTTCATTTTTGATTCATTTCGGCATTTCTTGGAAGAGCAGTACCTTGCAGGGGTCTTCTTCCAGATGCAGAGCTGCCTCCAGAGGTCAGGGAGGAAAATGAGTCTCGGTCTTCTAACATCAGTGATGCCCAATACTAATTCACCTCAACCAGAGTGTGGAGAAAGAAACACTTCAATTGAACTAGAAACATTTTGTAAGAAATACTGATCAGCATGCTTATGTATGGGCAATCACAGATAGGAATGGCTTTGTGTTGATGTATTCGCCCCTTACAAGGGCACCCACTGACCTTTTAGAACTTGATGATCTTTGAGGTCTCCTCCAACTCAAGCAGTTCTATTGTTCCCTACTAATTAAGTGAGGATCCCCTCGTGTATTCAGGCACAAATCTGGACAGGTCTTGTACGTTAGACTTTTTTTTAACCAATCCCAAAGCTCTCTCTTACAGCTATTGAACAGCTCCCCAAAGGCCCTCCAGATAGTTGTGGAAACCTGGTATGTGCAGAACTAGCACTGTTAAATGATTGAGATAACGGCATTTAAGATTATGAGGCAGAATGAGAGCAGATAACTCATTTGTAATAATTAATAACTATTTCTGCAAAGAAAACAGGAATGAAATGTCAGAGACTCAAAAAAGAAAGTGACGTTTTGTTATACGTGATTATTTATATAGTAATACTTTACATATTCCTCAACGTTAGACAGAGACGTGATGGAGAACTTCCCGTATTACTGAGTTTTGAGTGCATTTTTCATACTGAGTCAGTTTCATGGGGGTAGAAAGACTACATGACACAAAAAGAAAAAGCTGCTGCAATGTGCTTTGAAAAGTTGCAATATGGAAAGGAAAAGCTAGAAAACAAGTGAAGAGTGCTCAGATGCTGGCAGATGTTTTCCCTTGAGAACAGTGATTGCAAATGTATACAACAGCTAAAAAGACCAGCCTAATGTCAGCACTTGGGCACTGGAAATGTCACCACAGAA